TAGTTCTCAGTTGTATTGTGTGCGTTTGTTAGCATCGGAGTTTTCCCTCCCTTAAAAAAAGCTCGACAACTCTGCCCCCTCCCCAAAAGCTCACAGATCACAGTCTCTTGGGAGTTGGACGCGCCTGTCTTAAAGGATATCATAATGCAGGATTTATTTATTTTTAGAAATGGTGGTGCATCACCTTATTATTATTTTTTAAAGATTTGCATGAGTGTTCCTGCACCATTTAAGGGAAGTACTTTTCTTTACAGAAATAAAAACCTTAGAACCTTGAAAATAACGGTAATCACGCTGTGTAGGCATGAATGGACAGAATGAGACAATGTTCCTCACTGGTAGCTCCACCTATCACAGAAGCTGTGGTTTTGCAAACTGAAAGAAAAAGGTTTTCCCCAGTGAGATCCAGTGTGGTGTAATGGTTAGAGTGTCTGGAAGAATAGGACCTGGGAGACCAGAGTTCAAATCCCTACTCAGCCATGAAGTTCACTGGGTATTACTTCCTATACATGCCTAAATTTAAGTTACACTGTGCTCTCTATATGACCTGTTTTGCTATGGCTAGTTACAATCCTCCAAGTACCACAAACTGCAAAAAGAACCAAATAAATTCTCTATGAAAAAAAGAAATAGAAAGTGTCATTGCACTGAGGGGGAAAAAAAGGCAACTAGCCATTCGGTTTTTGCACCTGTAATCCAGGTTCCAGAAGCCATGTGGCAAATAGCTTTTCCATCCCAGTTTTTAACATTGCACCACACTGGCTTCCTAGAGTACTTCAGCCATGGGGCAGCTATATGAATTAAGGAAGTACCTAAATATGGGGAAAGCAAAATGTCACCTAGAGAAGGATCTGAACATGAACCACTGGCACCAAACTGTATGGAAATCAGCCTTACTAGAAAAGCTAACCAACAAACTGAAATTGACCTGGGGACAAATAAAAGAGGACACCTTCAGCCCGGTGTGGCTCCCCTTTATTACACACACAGCCCAACAAGGCAAGAAGAACTCACTGACAGCATACAAATCAATATGGCTAACTTTACCCAACAATTCCTCTCCGCGCGCCCCCCATACATGCAAACAAAACTCACTGCAGCCAACTGAAGGCAACCATCCATGCCCTGGGCCCCCCAACCTCTCTCAATGCCAGTGAAAACCAATAAATGAATAAAGATAACCTACCCACACAAAGCTGACACAGAAACCTCACACATATACTATGTAAAAGAATGAAAGTTTACTACCCCCTCTCTTCCCCCAACCTTATACTGCATACAACATTAAAGTCTCACATCAAATATGACTAATCTGTAGAAAGTACATTATGATCTGAAGATTGAGATGATGTACGTAATTTTGTAACCAATGAAAATATTTAATAAAAACCTTTTTTTTAAAAGCATTCAGATGTTTCACTGGCATCTAATGCTGGAAAATTCACAATACAAAAGGGAAAGCAAACATTCTCAGCCTTCTGTGGAGAGAAGTGGTCAGACTGGTTGAATATCCATCAATCCTTAGATGTTGAATGGCAGCTACACTGCAAGAATGCTAGAAGAACTCAAGGATGTACAGCATCAAAGTGGGAAGAAAGACATACACAGTCACGACCAAATCCAAGTGCATAAAAAGCGTTTGAAGATGATGTCAGGGCTCTTGTGGAGGCATTTTAGTTATCCAAAAACCCATTTTTATTGTTGATATTAAACAGATAGAAAATATGTTTATAGTTAGTTACTTTGGGTGAAATATGCCCTCTACTGCTTGCAATGTCACAAAATGTGAGCATTTTTTCTGGAACATTTTTCTAGGGCATATGGAAACTGAAAGGGATAATACACATATTTCATTGCAACACGTGTTCACAAAAACAAGGACACATTAGGACAACTACCATATATGAAGCACCTGCACTGTTTTAGAAATATGGATAAAAAGAGGGGCATGAGAAGATCTAGGAACATGAACACTTCATTGTAAAAATTCATGTGAACTGTTGCCATGATATGTCAGATGTAAAGATACTACTATTTGTTGAATACTGTACATCTGTAATCAGCATCCTAGATGTCCTTAGAAGAAAACTTAATAGATCTGGAAACAACAAAGCATTTCATGCTCCAAACCACTGTTTCTATCACTGCCCCTCATCGCTATGCTAGTCTATTCCATAAATTTAAAGCCTTGAGTGGTGATATAAGTAACCCACACTTTGATTTCCAATTTAGTAATAATATGAACAGAAGAAAGTTACACTCTTCAATGCATGTGCATATAGCATTCAGAGTAACACTTTTTCTATATGCATATAGGAAAAGAGACCTGGGAAACTTTGGAAGCAGAACGTACTGTCTCTCATGAAGTATCCCTATGCTTGCCAGCCACCAGCAATTTCACTTCTACCTACTGATAGCACTTCCAAATTGTCAGCAGTTTAGCCACTGAGCTCAGGCCATCTTTCCCAAAGCTTGCTCACTGGTCTATACACTGCAAGCTGCATTCTCACCCCTCTCAAGCATAAAGGGGGAAACCTGCCAAAATGCAAGATCAATATTTTTAGACTTTTGAAGGCTGAAGCGGTTATCTGAATTAATATTGGAAACATGTTTCACTCTAATATGTAAAAAGGTTTCCCCTTAGCTATGAATTCTGTGCTCCAAGAGAAGCTTTCACCTTGTTTCTAGAAATCACTGCTCTGACCATCATCTGATTAGTAGAAGAAAAAAACTGAAAAATGCAGATAACCCTATTCTCATGCAGATAAGTAGAAGATTGTTAATCATGCAATTTTGCTGTGTCCATGTCAAGACTGACTGAATTGCATTCTGTGGATATAGACGCAGAAAAAACGACTTGTCCAGAGGACACTGACTGAAAGGGGGCGAACACAGCCAAGCCATGCAGGGATACACCAGGCAGCACCCCTTGGGGGAGGTTCACAGAAGCCTTCATCTCACAACCCTTTGGGAGTTTCTGCTCTGAATGACAGGCAGGCGTTCCTCATCCACCAAAAATAAAAACAAAAATAAATAAATCCAGGCCTGCACAGATACGGTCTTCTCAGGACAGAATACTTTCTTTCCTACTTTCCATATGTAAGCATGTAAGTTTAATTTATCTAAGTAACAGTTACTGATAACGTACGGGGAAAAGTACCTGCCCACCAAGAATGAGAGATGAAAAATAATTTGGGCAAAGGAAAAATAGGCCGCTACCGCCTTCTTTTCTAAGTACGGGCTTTACATACTTCCCTATTTTATTGAGCTGGGGGCTCAAATCCTGATTTTAGAGGAGCCGGTGCCTCTGCCAGCTTGAAGATGTTACCCCAAACCGAGTCTTTCGATCATACGGTTTTCCGAACCTCAAGACTTGTTTTGTGCCCGAACTAGGCTGGCAAAGGGAGCCACGGGTCTCTTCCTCTGGGTTTCGAGGAAGTTTTTACCTGGTTTTTAGCGGTGCCGATGCCGGGCGAACCAAGAGGCCCCTTCAAATAAACGCACAGCCTCGGGAAGCGAGCGACCCTCCTCAGGGGCAGCAAAGGGACCGAGCCCAGTCCGAAGACCCCGCAAGCGCCGCGGCCTCCTTCGCGCCCCTTCGGCGCTAAAGCCCCAGCAGCGGGCAGCGGGGTTTAAGGAAGGCGGCTCCCAAGGCCGCTCTCCCGCACCGAGAAGGCGGCGACGGCGCCCTCCCGCCGCTGCCCCTCAACCCCGGCAGGAGACAAAGGCGAGGCCTCGGAGGCCCAAAGTCAAGGGCGGCCTATGGGGGGAGGAAGAGGAGGGAGGGAGGGAGAAAGACAGCTACGCCAGGCCGCTCGCAAGCCGCCTCGGCTCCGCCAAGCTGCGAGGGGGAAACGGAGGCTGACACAAAGAAGATGGTGCAGGCCGCGCCCTAAAGCGGGCGCCGCGCCCCGTGACGAGCGGCGGGAGCCTCCCCCCCCCCAGCCGGCGCCCCGCGCCCCGCCGAGCTCACCTCAGTCAGGGGGTGCCTTCCCGCGGCCGCGCGCCACTAGGCCAGGAAGCCAGGCGAGGGACTGCGACGGAGGCGGAGAGGGCGGCGCAATTCCTGCCGGCTCCGCTGGAGGCTGCTGCCCTCCTCCTCCTCCTCCGGGGGCTCTCCGGCCGTGTTGCCGCCCCGGGAAGGATTTCTCCGCTGCTAACCAAGCCAAGACCCAGGGAACCGCTCGCTTTCATGGGTCTGCAGTGCTGGCCGAGGCTGGCTGCTCCCGACACCCGCATCGCCCCTGCGCTCCCTCCATTCAAAACCGGCCCAAGCCGACCCCGCCGCGCGGCTCGCCAGGAAGCGGGCTTGGGCAGGGAGCCCGAGAGGGGCTTCGCAGGAAGGAGGGGCCCTCTCGTGTGAAAACGAAGTAAAACCCACCCTCCTCCAGCTGGCTGTTTGTGACCGAAAGTAACTACTCTTAACGGTCAACTGGAGTTCCCGCGCCTACAGACTTTTAGGTGTGATGACGATGATGATGATTACTACTACTATTTACCGCCATTCCCCGCCAAATCTATTTTATGGACTTTTAATAATGACCTTACTAGAACCAAAGATATTGGACAACATGACTCGACACCAAACTGCAAGGACACACGCTTTAATGCAGGCATGTCCAAAGTCCGTTTCAGGGGCCTAATTCGGCCCTCCAGTCAGTTTAATCCGGTTCCTGTGGCAGCTTATTTCCTGGGGTAAAATCCTAAAAACCTCAACAACTTCAATACTTAAAAAAGGTCAACTTTGGTCAGCCCTTCACTTCATCAAATCTGGCTCTCTCTGAAAACAGATTGGACACCACTGGCTTAATGGGTTTTGATGAATTTTTAGCGCAAGTTGACATAGGCCAAGGAAACGAAAAGTGGGCAGGAAAGGGGAGAAAACTTCCTCCAGGTGTTGCAAAAGTACGTTTTGTTGTGCTCAAGTTGCTCTGAATATTAATTCTTTCAAGATCACAACAGACTTTCGAGCCTGGTCTCCAAAAGAGTGACTTCAGACAATGGCCGCCAATGTGTTTGGGGTCTGTGGGCACTTTTGGGATCCTGAAAGTCTGTGGGCGCCGGTGACACGATGGCTGCTGTGAGCACAAATTGGCTGTCATGCTTAAAAGAGCCCAATTTGGGGGGGGGCAGCAGCTCCATGCAAATATGGAAAACTTTAATTTAAAAATGCTTGAAATGAATAAGCAGCTGTCAGGGACTGGTCAGATGAGGAGGTGAGGGGCACCCCAAGATGCGTCCAGGAGTTGGAGTGAAACAAGAATATTGAGGGGTCCCTTCAAGGGGTTCAGCTTCTTAAGGAAGACTGGACCTTCAGAGAGAGTATCTTTTAAGGCTCAAACCGGTCAGAAAATGAACACAGACCAGACCAGGATATACAAAAGCAAAGCAGCTATAAGCCTGATCTTTATTAACCGCTGCAACAGGGTGCTCACTGCCACACAGGAGGCAGGAGGGACCCAGGACAAAGGTGTGCAAGCCCTTATATAGACTTTTGAACAGCCCACCCCTCCATATATCATACGTACATCACAGAAGGGGTGTAGCCCAAACCACCCTCCAATACATCATACGTATATCAGAAAAGGGGCGGACTACAGAAATCTGAGTGCTTTGTTTTTATCCTGTCTGCCAGGTTACCTGATTGGATTACCTGGGCATCCTGGCCACTCTTTTGTTATGATAACTACTCAGTCCCTGAATACAGGTCACAGGCTCACCCTATTCATATCTTAGATGTGCTCTTGAGGTAGGATTTGCGAGCAAAGAGGCAGTGGGGAGGCTCCCCATTTCCTTCAACCTTGCAGAGAAATATTTGAGGTCATTTGGAAGAGACAAATGGTTTCGGGACTTTTTCTGTGGGTCTCAGACATGTGGTCTATACATTTATGTATATGCTTGCTTGGTACATTTATGAACATTTACTTTATATATATAAGACCTTAAAATTCTTATAACAGGAGCAAGCTAGCAGAACCAGGCGTTTTATCCATTGCATAGAGCTGAAAACCAAACAGGTAGAAGGAGCCCCTTGGCAGCCACCATAAGTAGGAGGGGTCTCTGGGCAACAGCTCAGCTATGAAGGAGTACTCTGCATTGATACTAAATAAATGAACTGATAAAGAAGCTCACTGCGTGCCTGGTTTCTCTCGGCTGTTAGCCAAGCGTGCTGCCTGTTGGCTCCCACGCAACAGATGGGACAGTGGCTAAACTTTCCCCATAACTCTCATCCCCTCCCCCAAAACCACCTAAGCATTTATTGCTGTGGGTGAGGGCGTATGAAGGAGAGGGGCGGGCTGCCCTGGGCACCACTCGGGGGGGGGTGACAAGATGGCCCACTGCCCCCCCAGCTGTAGAGCAGCCGAGGACATGTGTGCAGTTAGTATGGGCGCCGCTCACGTGGCATCCGTACGGACTGCCGCTCCCGCGCGCCATCTGTGCGAGCATCCATACGGGCTGCCTTTTGCACAGTGACCATACGAGCTGCCATGCGTGCGCAGTCCGTACGGCATGCTGCGTGTGCGCAGCTGGGTGGTTCGCCCCACCCCTTGGCATCCCGCCCCAGGTGCCGGAGAGGGTTCCTCCGCCACTGTGTGGGTGAGGTGTTGTAGATTAGAACTAGAAAATAAATCATAAATAGTTCAAAATTATTCCAGAACTCTATTTATATAGTGCTGGTTAGCTAGTAATCATTCAATTTTATTTATTTAAATATCTAACTTTTTAGGCAAAAAAGGCTCCCCAAGTGGCAATGAAGATCAGTAAAAAAAAGTACAGTACCTGTCCATAGGCTTACAATTGGAAGGTGGGAAGACACAAAAAGAAAATAGGGGAAAATAAGCAAATACGTGGAACACAGCTCACCAGAGTTGGAAAGTATTGCCCTACTAGTGTAGTGATTGACACAGAACATCTACTGCAATGTGCGGGAAAGAATAAGCAAGCAGAGTGTTTCAAGTCCAGGGAAAAGTCAGTCAATCAACAAAGGTAAAAATAGTCCTAACCCTAACCCCACCCTGACAAACCCAAAACACAGGATCAAGATTCTACTTCCGTTAGCTAACCATGAGGTTTGCCAAGGAACCTGGCTCATGCATTTTCTTTCTCTGTTATAGGTGTTAATAAAAAGGTTGACATAATAAAAAGGCTAATATGACAGGAAACCCACCATTGTGAACCTTGATGACAAGCCTGATTCCAGCCTCCTCTCCTGTAAGGCCTTCAGGCATATCCTGACCTATTCACACCTGACCGAAACATTAACACATGCAAATTTAGTTGCCAAGTATAGGATACTCAGCTCCTCAATGTGAGTCATCCACACATGATTTAAAGGCAGGTAGCATGGGCTTACAAATCAAGTAAATAAAAATACTTAATTAACTGACCAATAGCATCATAGATAAATTTGTTCTGCTCCCCCCAACATAAAGCCTGCCCCCCCATAAATTCTGGCTACGCCCAGATGGCCATGATTTATTTTAGGGTGGGCAGGTTTTATGTTGGATGGGGAGCAGAACCAAGTTAACTGTGACAAAGTTAAATGTTGTGGACAGGTTGTTGAGTTGCACATAGATTACACCTGTGCTGAGGGAACTGTGCTGGCTACCAGTAAGCTGCCAGGCCATGCTCAAGATCTTATCATATACCGTATATAGCCCTGAACAACTCAGAACCAGTTTTCCTGAAATATCACCTGCCCCTATATAAACTTGGAAGATCACTTAGCTAATCAGGATAAATTCCACTTGTGGCAGCACACCCTACAGAATAACATAGGATGGTGACTCCAAAATAGGCATTTTCTGCTGTTGCCCCTACTCTATGGAATGCCTCCCTCTTCCCTAAAATATAGCAGGAACTATTAGTTGCTTCACATTTCTTGTAAATACCTATATTTTTTCCCAAGCTTTTCCTAACACGTGATTGGATTCTGCTTTATGCACTTGAATCTCTCAAAATTTTGTTTAATTTGCTTCTATACTGCTGTTTTAGTGGCTTTAGGTGGTATTTTTGTTTCACCGATACTGGTTTTTTAAATATTGTTCATCACATGAATATATTTTTTAAACTATTAAGTAGTTCATAAACCATTTTAAATAATTATTCGATCAATAATCCAACCTGCATAGGAAGAGGATTGGGGCTGAAATAATAAAGGAAAGTGGGTGTGCAAGGAGGCAATCTAGGAGAGTGTAATATACAGTACAGGACTATAACTTGTATTTATTTCTTATGTGACACAGACGCATGCTTCATGGTGAATGTTTTAACTCTTAAAGCCAAATATTTTATAACAGTGTGTCGCTGTGACCCCCCCCCCCCATTCTCTGGTAAAAGAGGAAGGCTCCTCTCCTCCCTGGAAGCCTGGCTAAGCCAGCCTGGCCTGAGCGCGGGTCGCCCGCGACCTCCCCCCCCCCACTCCCCCCCCCCGAAATGCGCCGGCGGAAGGATCCTGACGTCGCGTCACCTGACCGCCTCCCGCTTGCGCAGTGGGAGGAGAGGGCGCTCCGCCCCAGCCCTGGCTGTCCCTCCCCTCGGCGGGGCCGGCGCCGGTTTACGTAACGCCTCTCCGGGCAAATTCCGGCTCGGTCCCGCCGCCTGACTCGGCACGGGGCGCCAGAGGCCCTGGCAGGTAAGCGCGACCTTGGGCCAGGGGCGCCTCGGCGGGGGCGCCGCTCCCCGCTCCCCCCGCGCGCTCCCCGGGGCCCGGGCCGAGGCCTGCGGCGGGGGGGGGGGGGGGCACCGGCCTGGCCGGGCCTCTCGACTTGATCCGGAGGCCTCTGCTGGGCAGGGCTCCGGGGCCGCGCCGGCTCCCGCAGGCGGTCTGGCGCGGGCGCCGCTCCAAGGGCAGGCGGGAGGGCCGGGCCGCCGGGCGAGCGGCGTCGGGAGGGCGGACGGCCGGGCAGCTGGGCCTGCCCTCTCTGCGCCCGGGCTCCCGGGCTGAGAGGCCGGAGTGGGCTGGGGGGGGGGGCGCTGGGCGGGCGGGCGGGCGGCGACTCGTCCATGTTGGCCGGCTGCTCCGCCGGAGCGGAGGGCTTCCTGCGCGCTTCCCGCGACGCCCCTGTGGAGTTTGTTCAGGCGCTCCTCCTCCTCCTCCTCCTCCCTCCCGGTTTAGCACTGCGGAGTCGAACTGGGCGACGGGGGCGGAGGCTCCGGAGGCCCATTTTGACTGCTCCCCCCCCCGCCCGCTTGTGCTGATCTTGCAGACCTTGCTTGGGGTTGCTGGAAAAAGTACTTTCAAGTTACTTCGTCGCTGCTCTGATGTACCTGCCGCTACGTTTGCTGCGCTTATATTATTGTGCTCTCGGGCCAAGTAAACTGGAGAGGAGGACAGGCCTATAAACAGGGTAGCCGGGTAGCCTTACCCCGGGGCTGGGAGGGCGGTGTCGGCCGGGGGGTCTCGCCGGACGGACTTGCCCTCTTGGAGTTCACCTCCTTCTAACTAGACTCCCGCTTCGGGCCACAAACAAGGTCCTCACGGCCTTGAAGGGAAACGTTCCAAAGCTTAATGAAGCTTAATGTTCTTGCCAACTTTCCCACCTTTCCGTTACTGAGTTTCTTTAGGAGTTGACTGAAAGGCCGCCAGAGCCATTTTGGTTTCAAACTCTAGTTAATGTATGGCTTGGGTTACCGGTATATTGGTTTTCAAAACGAGATTTGAGCCGATAGCGTTTTTTACCGATAGTTTAAATCAAGCGTGTGTTTAGTCTGGCCTTTTAAACAAATCCACAACTGTATTAGTAGTTCACCTGCCCTTGCAAACCTATCTGTAGGTTGCCACCCTAGGCATAGTTACTGGGGAGTAACTTATGAGCAAGGCTCAGTTCTGAGTGAACATGCATCGTCAGTGGCTTGAAAAAGTTAAAGATGCAAATGCTAAATTGCAGGTCATACACCCACATTCTTGGCATACTTAAACATAAAAGTATGGGTGAAATGAGCAGCATATGACTTGAGTTGATGAAAATGTATGCTGTAAAAAGTGCTGCTGCAGCTAGAGCTACTTCAGCATTCATATGAGGAAGTTGAGAGGGCAGCAGTGGCTGCTCTGCAGAAGAGGGTGAAGAGGCTTATGGGAATATTTTTGAAATAACTCTTTAATCTTATAATTTAAAGGAGCACGTAATTGATTCTGAGACTATATGGGATTGAAAAGAAAAGTCAAAAATACTTGGTATTTCATTTCTGAGATTTCAAAGGAGGAGTTTTTCTTGGTATCCCTGAAGGGAGGGGGTGCTGGTTGCTGGGGCGGCCTTGGAATAAGCAGGCAAGTGGGTGAGGGAACCCAGCCCGCCAGTCCTTGCTGCTAGGAATGGATGAGCAAGTGGGAGGCTGGGCAGGCAGGCAGGCAGGCAGGCAGGCAGGTGCTGTCCTTTCTTGTGCTTGCTGTGTGCAATGCCTGCCTGGGAGCTGAGTGCCCAGCACTGAAGGGGAGCATTTTCACCATGCAGGCCCAGCGGTGCCCACTGCTGCCTCCCAACGTGAGTAAGATGGTGGCCTCATGTTCACCTTCAGCCGGTCTGCATCTGGCCGCTAAGGCTGGAGGCATCTTCCTCCCAGGAGGCATCTCTCTTTGGGATAGGGTGGGGCAGCATCAGCAACTGCCCAGAGAACTCTGAAGGAGAGGGGAGAGGAGAGGAAGCTGAGGGAACACTCCGCAAGGGAGGGTCTTCAAAAAGGGGCGAAGGGTTCCCAGCTCTGCAAGCAAGGGTTGACATAACTGGATTTCTGAGGCTTAAAGTGCGTTTCCCCACAGGGAAGCCACAGAAAGTGTGTCAAGGGAGCTGTGGACTCAAAAAGGTTGAAAACCTCTGGATTAGGGTCTTGTAGTAGCTGAAGGTGACCATCCCTATCCCAAACTGAACCAGAACTTGCTTAGCCCTAAATGCTAGTGTAAAATAATAGGCTTACCTCTGATAAATTAACTTGTTCTAGGATTCAGTCTTGGAATCTGTTTCCATATATTCCAGGATTCAAGCTCTGATACTGAAGCAGCATAGTTTTAGTCTCCCTTTTAAATGAATTTACTGTTTTTTGTTGGGTCCCCTCATAAGCATATTTTTGTTGGGTCCCCCCCGTAAATCGCATGGAAATAATTGATTAGAAGGTGATGAATAGATCTATGATGAGTATGCATCATAGAGGCCAAGTAGTCAACTGCATTATGTCCCAACATACCAAATTAAGTTGAGGAGCAGCATTTCCGGATGGATGGCATAGGTTTCAGGCACTCTGGAGCCCTGATGTTTGTCTCTCTTTTAGGAATTAAGCACTTTTTTCCTGAGCATATGCAGAATATCCTACCACATCAGAGTAATAAATCTCTGAACAGGAAGTAATGCATATTTTGTTCTGTATCTTACAGTTTGAGACTTCCATTAGAAACAAGTGAAAAGAAACCTGTGGTTGTAAAAGGAATATAGGATCTAAAAAAGTTATAAATTTATATTTTTATATTTCACTAAATTCCAAGGATTAGAAAATGTCCCTTTCCCTAGAGAAGTTCCTAACTCAGTGCAGAACAGTACAGCAGTGCAGGCACACCTTGGAGATATTGTGGGTTCAGTTGCAGACCACCACAATAAAACAAATACATATCACAATAAAGTGCATTTTTTCCTTTTCTGCTCCAGCCCTAGCCAGTGCCACTCCTGTGGCCAGAAGAGGGGTGGTGGCAGCAGAGAGAGGACTTCCTTCTCCTGGAAGCAGACAGGCTGCCTGCAGCTGCACCCACGTCCTCCTAAGGAGCTCAGTAAAATGAAGTACGCTTGTATTTGCAAGCTGAATGCTGATAATTTCTACTACTGCCATTGGGGTTTAAATGAGCCCATTTAAAAAAGCACATTTGATTTTTTTTCTTGCGCTACTGGTATTCATTTGTGAAAGACAGAAATAGGACTTAACATGAAGTTATATAACATTTTCTAAATGATTGTTGTCCATATAGTAAGAAGGATTTAGGATTGTATTTCAGCCTTACTGTGTTACACTGTAAAACTTAGTGAATGTAAATAGATGCATTTTTAATCCTCTGTCTACCACTTTCTTTATATCCATGTTTGAAAATAGTGCTTCTCATCTTTTAAATGTCTACTTCATGTAGGGAAGTTAATATTTGATCAATATTGACAGGATTGATGTTGCTCCCTTACCTGCTTCCTGCTGCTTCCTTATGATTGTGGTCAACTGCCATGTGATTGGTTGCTGCTTTGTCTCTTCACTCTGATGGAACTGGCAAGTTAGGTGGGTAGCTGTGTCAATTTCACAGAACTTTATAGTATGTTTCCTTCAGAAAGCCCATGTATATGAGCTGTTGCTTACATATATGAAACACCCTTTTGAAGGAGGGAAGAAAGAGAATGCCACAACTGAAATAAAACACATCATTCCCAAGCCCTCAGCTATGTCAGTGTCACTGAACATCAGAGATGAAGGAAGAAAAGGTAATGGAGCAGATAAGCAAGCAATGAAGAAGAGTCCTTCATACTTCTAGGCTTACAGTGAAGCCAGCACCAATCATGTTGTGATGGAATTGCATTCAACTCTCGTTGCAGTGGATTGTGGTCCAGTATCCAGAATAGATTACTGTAGTATCCAACTTAAGTCATATTCAGAGTACACCCACTGAAATAAATAGTCCTAAATTAGTCAAATACCACACATAGTGTAGAAGTGTTTTCTCTTGTTCTAGCTGGAAGGGGCATTGTGATAGAATATTTCAAAGCTGGAAAAGTGAAGAGTGGTAATGTGTATTAAGTGAAGTGGTATTAAGTTCTTAAAAATATGAATGTGATTTTCCTCTTAATCAGACTTTGATCCAGAGCCTGTTTCAAAAAATAATAAACCTGTAATTTTTTAAAAAGAAGATCTCTGAGCAGATAGAATGTTCCATGAAGTCATATGCCTGCATATATCTGATATCCAGGCGGAAGTTTTGCTCAGGAATACTTGGCATAAGCAGACTTCTAATTCCACCCACCTCCTATGATGAAATAGCTAGCACATAGTTTTTAAAGTTCATTTGCTTCTTACTGATTATGAACTATGACTGCGAGCCTTACTCAGAAGATGAAGGGCTTTTTAGTATTAATATTTTATTGAAAAGTTTTCAGTTATAAAGAAATAAAGTGTACAAAGAAAAAGGGATGAAAAGAAAAAAAGGGACAAAAATGTGTAAAGAAAAAAACCCAATATATGAATATATATGAAAAATACTACTACATTCTTTTTAAAAATTTGATAGGTAAATATCAATAGCCAACTACATTTTGTAAAAATCATTCAAGCAAAGTCTTTGTATGTAAGCACTTGTCATGGTGTTCTGTGTGCCAGAAGTTTAGAAGACGTTTAGTCATGCTGGCCACATAACCCAGAAAAGCTGTCTGTGTACAAACCCCAGCTCCCTCGGCCTGAAAGCAGAGATGTGCATTACATGCTATTAGGGCTGTGCGGTATCTGGTTTTCAATATCACGATATATCGCCAACTAAACATCACAATATCTCGATATATCATGATATATATCTGCGGCAGCGGAGGGCCTTGCTGGGCGGAGGAGGGCCTCACCATGCCTATTCATGGCAGTGGAGGGCCTCACCACACCTCCCTGTGGAAGCGGAGGACTTTGCAGGCATCCCCGGGGTGGAGGAGGGCCTCACTGGGCATCCCCACAGTAGTTGAGGGCCACCATCGCGCCTTTCTGAGATGGCAGAGGGTGCACTACGCTTCCCTGGGGTAGCGGAAAGCTTTGCTGCACCTCCCCATGGCAGCTGAGGGCTTTACAGCGTAAGGAGGTGTGAGATTTCCTAAAAATATTAATAAACTTCCATATAATATTTTCAATATTTTTTCAGCCAATTTAAGAATAGTTCAACTGATTTACAAGGCAAGTTGCATCTACTTCCCCACTCGGAGGTCTAAGCGGAATCTATGCATGCATAAGCCCCACTGAGTTCATCTAAACTTCTACTTTCCTGGTAGTAAGCCTCATTGAATCCAGTAGAGCTTGCTTGTGAGTAGACATGCATTTGCTTGCACTGCTTACCAGCAAACACCCTCCATACCATTCTCACACAGTACCCAACTTCTCATTTCAGCAGAAGGCAACCAGTTAAATCTTCTCCCCTCCATTTCCCCCAACACAGAAGCCCCCTCCCCCCAAAAAACTCCATCCCACCAATCTCTCCTTTTTTATTAAAGGGAGGGAGGGCAGGCAAGCAAAGACTTTGTCTCCTATAAACAAACAAACAACTTTCCTTTTGTGTCCACCACTGCGTGCAGAGCCATGCTATAGAAAATGTAATTGTAGTAATCTGGTCCATGTGCTTCCGAAAGATTTAATGAAAATGACCTAAATAAGGGAACTTTTTGCTCTTCCTACTGATTAATGATAGTCCTCTGACTCTTGTTAGAGATGCAGTTTTCTCCATAGCATAAGTATTTTAACGGTCTCCCCTGGTATTAACAGTAAATATCTTAATATTAAGTGTAAAAATTCAAGTGTTTGACTGGGTAACAGTTATTTTAACGATTTTAGCTTTTTTACATTCCAGTTTTAGGTAACTTTTCAACCATAGTTTTCACTAGTATCTTTCTTTCTTTAACTTACACATAGTTGCAATGAAAAAACCCAAACCTTTTGAAAAGTGGCTTTCCTCCAATCCTTTGGGTTGTCTTTCCTCCTCCACCCCATTTACTCCTCTGCAAGTTTACCAGGGAGATTAGATCTTGAGGATCTTACTAGATACACTTACTAAATAGGCTGTAGTGGAAGCAGGGGTGGATGAAGGACCTGATAGTTGTCTTGTAAGTTCTGGTGTCCCAGGTAACGCATATGCTGCTACATTTGTGGTTGTGCAACTGGCTTGACATGCATTGCTTCACCTGTTTTCTCCAGAAACTCAGTGACATTGGCCTCTTAAAGGCAACATTAGATTCTTTCATAGCTGATGTGGCTTCAGTCATGAACTTGCAATGCGCCCCAATTCTAGAAGTAGAAGCAACTTGACTACATAGCAACCTGAAGACCCTAATGTTGCCACTCTGATTCCCTATTTTATCTAGCTCATATATGTGTTCCGCCATCCTCCTCCCAATATGCGTTTGGCCTTAACTATGTCCCTTGGAGGCTGCACACAATGTCTTTTCCTTGTATTCCTAAGTCAAGCAGCTCTCTGCATTAGTCACAGGTAGCTCCTACTCAGCTGGTTGCTCAATGACAGCATGGTTCTCAGTTTGCTCTTTTTCTTGTGTGTGCGCTTGTGGCTCATCTGAGCAGCTAATTCCACCACAGAAAATAGTAATTGGTTAGTGATATGATTTTAACTTGTAGTTAAGCTTTTATATTGATCTCTCTGACACTCAGCAATTAGCACAATGAATATAACTTGAGAATATGGCCTTGTGTGAGATCTCTAAAATGGGTTTGCACCAAATCTAGAACGCTTCCTCACTGAAAACCAGAGAAGGTTGATTTCTGTACTGGCAAGCAGTGTTAGAAATCCCTCCAGTCGACAACGGCATTTTGTGACTGACGCATGTCCAATTGTCACCCTATGGAGATCTCTGGATCCCTGGTTGGCGACTGACATCTCCATCTGGCTGGCCTGTCCAACTTTCTTAAGTAGGAGAGCTTATTTATTGCATGTATGTCCCATATTTTCTTCAAGGAATACATGGTTCACCCCCCTCATCAGTTAATACCTACAACGACCCTGTGAGGTAGGTTAAGAGACTGTGACTGGCCCAGGGTCACCCAGTGAGCTTCATAACTGAGTGGAGATTTGAACCCTGATTTCCCAGGTCCTAGTTCAACAATCTAACCACTACATCCCAAATGCTTCCTAGAGTACTTCTGTTGTGGGGCAGCTCTATAAATTAAGTAGGTAAATAAATAAATATGGGGAAATCAAAATGTTACTTAGAGAAGGATCTGAAATTGCTCTCTCCTTCAAGTTTCTGTTCATTTTTTAAAAAATTAATATTTATTGCTTTTCCAACGATTTAAACACTACAAAAACAAAACAATACAATACAATACAATACAAAAACACTACATAACATTGACACATTAAACACATTAAACTAACAAAACAAAACAAAAACAGTTTAAAGTAAATCAAACAATTTCAATATCTTATCTTTCATTCACTTATTTCCACGACCTCCTCACGCCTCCCTTTTTGTATTCCACTTCTGTTAATTGTTTCAGCAATTCCTTTCCATCTTCCTCTGTTTTCTATCCTATAATTGTCTTAACACATTCTAACCTTATTTTTCCTTTAATACTCTATTAATCTATTTATACTTATTTCCTTATAACATTTCTACTAAAGCCATATAATTTCATTCCAACATTTTTCTAACATTCATTAATTTTACAATATTTCTGTAGATAGTCTTTAAACTTTTTCCAATCTTCCACCAATTCTTCTCCCTGGTCTCGGATTCTGCCAGTCATTTCTGCCATTTCCATATAGTCCATCAACTTCATCTGCCATTCTTCTTGGGTGGGTAAATCTTGTGTCTTCCAATACTTCGCGATGAGTATTCTTGCTGCTGTTGTTGCATACATAAAAAAAGTTCTATCCTTCTTTGGCACCAATTGGCCGACCATGCCCAGGAGAAAGGCCTCTGGTTTCTTCAGGAAGGTATATTTAAATACCTTTTTCATTTCATTATAAATCATCTCCCAGTATGTCTTAATCCTTGGGCATGTCCACCAAAGGTGAAAGAATGTACCTTCAGTCTCATTACATTTCCAACATTTATTGTCGGGCAAATGGTAAATTTTTGCAAGCTTGACTGGTGTCATGTACCACCTATAAATCATTTTCATTAAATTTTCTCTTAAGGCATTACATGCCGTAAATTTCACACCTGTGGTCCATAACTGTTCCCAGTCAGCCATCATTATATTATGTCCAACATCTTGTGCCCATTTAATCATAGCTGATTTCACCGTTTCATCCTGAGTGTTCCATTTCAACAGCAAGTTATACATTCTTGACAAATTCTTGATTTTTGGATCTTACAGTTCTGTTTCCAATTTTGATTTTTCCACCTGGAAACCACAAGTTTCTGTTCAATGCTTGGTAGTGGAAAAAAATCGGGATGTTCCTTTTGGGTGTTAACCAAGAGAGCAGGCACAGTTTGCATTGAAACCACTCCTAACAACTACTAAACTAAGGTGGAAGCTTCTTTCTCCTGTGAAAATGCTGATTGTAGTTCTCATTCACACACTCTGAAAAATCTTTAAGAGCTACGTGGAGCATAATCAGTTTGTGTCTGGCCTTAAAATCTTACTTTTCAAATGATGGACTAACTGTGATTTCTTCTTTAAGTTCTCAAAGCTCTTAACCTAGCTCAAGGTTGTCATCTGAACTAGCCAGATGTTTAACTGATAATCACAGTCAGTCAGTCATTTGAAAAATAAGACCTTAGAGCCATCTTGTCCCAAAATGGCAACTAGACATTTCATTTTGGCAACTGTAACCCTGGTTTAAGGAGCCATTTGGCACTTAGCTTATATATCTGAGTTTCTAACACAGATCTGGAGGTGCACCAAATGGCTCCTTAAACCGGGGTTACACTTGCCAGAACAGAATGCCTAGTTGCCATTTTTCTGCCAGTCAGTCGGACTTTTTGGTTCCTGGTATCTGGAACACAAACACAAAGAAGGAAGGAAGTGGGCAAACTCTTAATTGTTTGTATATCTGAATCTGTGGTGTGTATAGTGAGCTTTGGGCATAATTCTTTATGTTTTGGTAAATGATTTTTCACATAAGAAGTGAGTGGATAGTTGGGACCTGTGCATAGGTGCCTGCAACCAGTTATTGAACAGGAAACTCTGATACAATGCCTTTCTACTTATGGACAAAGCTGCCAGCTTTGAGTGCATGGTTTTCAGGACCACATTTAGCTAGAATTGCAATGTTGCCTAGTGCAAGAGCTTATTTTTCCAATATTGTGTAAAGAAATGTGTATCAATACATTAGGTTAGGCTATTAAGTACCCTGTGATACGGAGCGAGGATAAAATTAGATGAAATTACTCCTTTTCTCATTCTAAGAGTGCAGTCTAGGTAAGTTAGCCCTGTTTTTGCTGGAGTGGAATTTATTTGTTCATAAATATGTGGTTTGGGCTGTAGAACTTTAATCCTACTTGTACAAATAATTGTTAATTGCACTACTTGCTTAGTTTATGAGAATGTAACTTAGAAGCAATTATTATTAAATTTATTTTAGAATGTTTTAAGTAAATACGCTTTGCACTGGGCTGAAACCTACTTGGCAAGATTGTTGTAAATGTGCATTTACATAGGAGCCAGTTCCAGGGGACCGTGGGTGCTTGGGCACCCACAGTGTCAGTGGAAAGAGCCAGCAGGCAGCAGTTCAGCTCCTCCCTCCACAGCCAGAGAGTGAGGCACCCCCTTTCTGCAGGGGTGAGGCTCAGATGCAGTGTTTCTCTGCCTCTGTGTACGAGCCCCTCCCCATGTAAAAGGATGACTTGCTAGCTGCAGATAGTAGGAGGAGGAAGAGACATCACTGCCGGCTGCCACAGTGCAGCCATGACATATGCACACGCCTGCACATAGTACATTTGATATCATGCACTATGTGCAGGTGTGTGCATGTGACATCACATGTCCATGTTGTGGTGGTGGGAACCCACAACCCTGAGGGCAAGATGGCACCCGTGTGTATTTACTGTAGTCCATTATGAGTCCTTGAGATAGGGTAGAAATAATTGGGAAATATTAGTTATCTCACCAGTGTAAGTAAGCAAACAGTATATTTGTTAGAGAACAAATGTTGGTACAGATGCTACTAACTAGGTTTTGGTATTCTCAAGATCAGCGGTGAGGAGCCTCTGGACTGTGGGCCTAATTAGGTCCTTCCATTTCGTTCAGGAGGCTGTTTTGACCACGCCGTGTCCACCTGGCCTACACCTGATGTCACAGATGACCTGACTTTAAATGACCTGAGGCTTCTTCTAGTAGAGACCAAAATATATGTTTATTTCTTGCCCCCTACTCACCTGAAGAAATCTTTAGAAGCCATTTATCAAACATTTTAGACCAAGATCTTCTAGGCTGGCACCGCCTCAAAATATTTTAACACCCATTAATTACCAGGAAGATAGGAAATGTGTTCTTTATGCTAGTTTTCAAGCCCTGCTTGAACATAAGAGGCTATGCTTTTTACTTCAGCACCCCACATCTGTGCTCAGGAACTTTCCTGCAGACTTCTTCCCCTGCTTTTCCTTCTCCCTTTTCCTGCCAGAAAAGGGACGTTCAACTTCAACACACTGAACCTCGACAGGTATTATGTCTCCTTTCTCTAGCCAACTACTGCAAAAATGAATCTTTGACTTTCAGCCATTAACCCAAAGTCTGTCACCTGCTTTTTCCCATTTTTTGCCTAAAAACTTTTCCAAAGCTCCACTGCCTAAACCTTCCTTATTCCTCCGGCAGCTGCCTCTTCTCTCCCTACTGCTAAACTCTCCTGGTACCAGCTTCATTCCCTCAGTCAATTTCCCCTCTTTCTAGTGTACCCTTTGTATTTTCAGGCATGCTTTAGGAACAAGACTTCTAAACTAAGCCCTTTGTTAGTGTGCTGCCCATTGATTTTGTTCAATATATTTAGTAAATATGCTAATTTCCCTTAGAGACAGCATGTTAATTCCCTTTTTGATGGATTAAAATGACTTGTGTGTTATTTATGTGTTAACTCTTGGGTCTGGAGCGCATCCAGGTCTCAACATAAAAAGAACAACAAGGGGGTGTCCAGATTGCGTGTGAGATGTTTTTATTGCTTTGATATATTTTTTATGATATAGAGGCATACAACTATTTTTATAAATAAATGAACCTGTTCACTTCATCGCAGGGAGCTATGCATCACAGAGAGTTATTCAAACTCCAGCGATCCTCTGCCTGGGCAAACATGGATCACTTTCTGTTATTGTGACATCAGGAGATCATTGTGTGGGAGATAATGATCTGGCCCACCCACCAAGTCTAATTCCCCACCCTTGTGCCAGATAGATGTAAAATAAAATACTAAAAGCTGCTTTATACAGTTTACCACTAGCCCTGACTTCCTCTGCTTATGTCTTCTTTCTATAAGGAAACCATTTACTAAAAGAATATATATATATATATTTACCACAAAATTTATACAGATTTTGTGGACATAAAAAGGAAAAGTTATTTTCTTACTCTTGTGAAGCCATGTAAGTAAGATGGCATTACTTATTCTCTTCCTCCATTAGATCTACTGCCATATAACTTTCACAGGCTTGTAGGAGATGGAGTCAAAGGCAAATCTGTGGGGATCACAAGAAAAGTGGATTCCTCTGTGAAACGCTGCACAATTCAGCCCCAGTCCCCTCAGGCTAGCAGTCACCATGCGCCCTGCAGCTGTCCTTTTTCCTTTGCTGTTGAGAGATGGAAACGGGGAAAGGACAGCTGTAGAGCACATGGCTGAGCACTTAGGCAGCTGTTGGCCTCTGAAGGACATGGAGATCATGCCTTTTAGCCTTAACCTAAATGGACCAATTGACTAGCAGGTGCCTTAGTACCAGACCATGTACTTTGCAGCTGTCCTTTCCCCACACTCCTGTTGAGAGATGATAGGGAAAGCTGCTAGTGTAGCACGGCACTTGAGCAACTACTAGGCTCCGTGTCTCTCTCCAGGCTAGAATCACTTGGGCAGGGGGGCCAGGGACAGTGGTCGGATAGCGAAGCATCCTGCCATGACCCTTAGCTGGTAGGCCCAGCAGGGCATCCCAAGCTGTTGCTAGCATCTGTATTCTCCCTTTCTGTTCTTTTTCTAGAGGATCAGAGGAAGAAATTGTGGTTCTTTTCAGAGAACAGTAGTTTAAAGGCTAGAAGAAAGAAGGAGAGAGTTCCTGTGTGTACTCTGCACACCGGAGCCCTTTTAAGAAGACTTCTGCATTCTAGAGTTGAGGCTCAGGGATTTTTCTTTGCCACTGCAGGAAAGTTTGTGGATTCATGTGGCATCTGGGGGCAAATATGTGCCATAGAACCTCAAATAAACTTTTAGTCTGTTCTGTGGGTGAGTGGGAAAATTGAAATAATTAAATATAGTTTATTGGTGTGACTTTTCTAAAAGATTTTGAATTAGACAATTTTCTATATAATATCTGACTTAACTGTTTCAATGTCTGTCTGACTAGATTACTTGATGTATATAAAATTCTTTACTCCCTACAAAAGTTTTGTTATTCGACCTTCATTCCAGCTAAAGATTTCATTGCTAGTACATGAGCCGACAATTTCCTGTTTTGTTGACCAAAGCCAAAAACCTTTGTCTCAAGAAAGCCAAAGGTGAGACTTCTTCACCAATCTCAAGCACCTTTAATTGCCCTTGTAGTATTTTTAATGCCTTCCATTCTTTCTCCTTAACAAATTCCTTGCATTTTTCATTTTTTATATAATGTTGCCTCTCTTTTTATTTGTTTTCTGGCTTCTAAAGTCTGAAGCAGATACAACCCTGCATGGAAACATTTAAAGGTTTCTCATATTGTGCTCCTGAAATGATATTAATTTGAAAAAACAGAACAATCTCCTGATTAAATCTATCTACTGTATTTGTGTCTCCTAGAAGTGACTGTTTTTATATCCATATCGTATCAACTTGTTCTGTTACTCTCATCTTACTGTATAATGGAGCAAGAGCTGATCATAGAATCACAGAATCATAGAATTGTAGAGCTGTAAAAGGTGAAAGATTTGTACAATCTGAGGAGAAGCCTTCATCTGTGATGATGAAAAATGAAAATTTTTGAAGGAAATAAAAATAGATATAAAATTAAGAAATGTAATAAAGTACCTAGGAATAAATATAACAAGAAATTTAGAACAAGAGAATTTTAACAAATTAAATAGGGAAATTAAAGAAAAGCTTGAGGAATATAAGAAAATTAAGCTTTCATGGTTTGGAAGCATAGTGATAAAAAAAATCTAGACAAAATTTTCCTTTTAATTATTTGGAATGTTGCCAGTTAAGATATCAGAGACAGAGACAAAGTGTTGGCAAAGTATGATTAATTAATTTTGTAATGGGGATAAGGAGACAGCAGGGCAGATAAATAGTCAAAGCTGGGGAGAAACACACTTTGAAAATGTTGTCTATAAGGATAAAAGAAAATTATTATAAATTAATTTGGAGATGTTATTTAACACCAGTCAGATTAAATCAAATAAACAAGGAATATTCAGTGTTATGTTAGAGGGGATGCCAGGACTTATGTTCACATGTGGTGGGGGTGCAAATATGTACAATTTTTTGGCAAAGGGTGTTTAAGGACATAACAGAAATCACTGGGTTAAAGCTGACTGAAAGTCCCAAGGTAGCATTATTATCAGTTTACGATGGGGTGGAAGGTACAAATTTATTGACAGCTGCACAAGTTATTATTGCTAGGACGTGGAAGGGGCAAGGTGATGATAAAATGGAAGAATAGTATAAAGAGGTTTGGGATATAGGTATTAATGATAAATTAACATGCACTATTAAGGTAAGATGGGGAATATGCAGGAGAAATGATTTTGAGGAGCTGTGGAAGGTATTTGTAGAATTTGTACTGTTAAAATGCAATGGGGTCAAACCATTGCAAGAGGTGTTGAAATTTTGGGAGGTTGGGTAGTTACAATGGATGGTCTCGGGGGTGGGGTGCACATTTTTATTGTTATTTATTTATTATTATTACCTTGTCAAAATATAAAACAAAATTATATATAAAAAAGAATTGTAGAGTTGGAAGGGACCCTGCAGATTACGGTATCTATTCAGCCCCCTGCAGTGCAGGAATAGGCAGCTGTCCTGTATGGGGATAGAACCTGCGACCTTGGTATGATCAGCACCATGCTTTAATCAACTGAGCCATCGAAATGTGTGATATATTTCTTATTTTAATATTGTAGTCTGTTGCCTTAAGTACTACAGGTGTTGCAAGGAACAAACCAGTCCTTTGAATTCATTGTACTGCAGAATTCTCCACGTAAATATTTTATTATTGCCCACTTATGACTGCCCAAGTATTTCCAGAAGCAAGTTAATAATAAAAATTTTAACAAAACTGAATAGCAGGAAAAACCATAATTACCAAAACAGATATGCTAATTTAATATTGTATGGCAAGCTTGGCTCTTGTGGGATTGGAATCCAGTAAAAGGGAAGGTTAAAAATGAATTACAAAATCACTCAAAGTTTGTTGTTGTTGTTTAGTCGTGTCCAACTCTTCGTGACCCCATGGACCAGAGCACGCCAGGCTCAAAGTTTACCACTCAAAGACTCAAAGTTTACCACTCCTTTTTTAGAGCAGGAAAGTAGTGCTCAGAGGTTGACTAAGTTTTACAGGTGGATCACATGTCAAAATATTTAATTGCCCCTGAGCAAAGAATTGCTTTTATCAAGCTCAAAGGAAGATTTGCCTAGAGCAAGGGAAAGGGAGACAAGGTTCCCCTTTCTCAGCTGAAAGTGCTCCCCAAAACTTTCTCTTTTTAGTTTTCAAGCCTATAATGTTCACTTCAGTTCAGTTCCTTTTTATAACAAGCCTTTGTTTTTTTCATAAGTGTACATTTCTGTTCCCTTTATAATTCATGTATTTTGCTTAAATTGTGATTTTTTTCTTCATATGCATCACAGCCTCTTTTTTTCTCTTATTTATAGGTCCTGCTGGGGATTTACATCTGGCGTCAATGTGAAATTAAGGTAGAAAAATGCACATAAACATGTGTTTCCTGTTAAGATTTAGTGTACTCAGTGGTTATGCCTGAAGAGTGGGTCTTGTCTTTAGACTGATAACTGCCAGGAAATATAAATGATTATCCTAGAAGTCAAGCTTCTCTCCTCCTTGCTGGAGTGAAAAAAATAACCATCTCCAGGTTCCTACGGAATATCATCTACAGAAAATGCATCACGTTCTAAGGATGACGGTCACCTAGATTCATGCACCCAATCTATACAGTTGTTGTGGATGGTTTGCCATCTGAAAGCTCCTCAAGCTCCTGTCTGGGCTCTGTACCTGTTTCTGAAATGTCTCTGCTTCATGCTTTGGGCCCCGTGCAGACCTGGCTGGGACAAGAGCTAGAAAAATGTGGCATTGATGCCATGATTTATACTCGCTATGTCCTCAGTCTTCTACTGCATGATAGTTATGACTACGACCTGCAGGAACAGGTATTTGCATATTTTGGATATTGTTTGAGTGAAAAACGAATGCATGTTTTCATTGTGTGACACGTGTTTGAAATTCTAAATGTGTTAACTGATTTCGGATTCCTATTTGAATAGCAAATATTGGGTACAGAGTGGTTACACTAGACTTGAGGGTTGATTGACTGGCAACCCAAATCTTACAGATGGAGGAGGGATAAGAAAGGGCAGATTTTAACAATTCTGAACAACCTTTTTTTTTTAACCAAGGCTGTCCCTGATCTGGAACCACATATCCCTGTCTCTGTAGTAGCAGAGGTGCTTCTCAAGCTCCCCCCACCTTGATTGCATAGGCACATTACAAATGCACCCCCCCCCAAAAAAAAAAATCTGCAAAGGGTGGATCATCTGCTTAAGTCCTAATTGATAGATGAAGCTTTGGGCATCAGCCTTTAGGTGCTGTCTACAAAGGCTGGAGCTTGTTTGTTTTTTACTCAAATCCTTGTTGCCTAGTCCCTTCCTTAATTTCCTTTTGTGTCCCAATTCGCTTCCCCTTTTTTCTTTTCATATTTATTATTTTCAAATTTAGACATTAAGCCATGTTTAAACTTTCTTAGTTGCTGTTTGGCATGAGGTGTTCATTGAATTTGTGGGGTTAGAGCTGTCCAGAGAAGGCTCATTGTTACTTGCAGCTTTAATTTGCCGCTTTTTGAAAATTGACTCGTATATTCCTTGAACCCATTACTTGGCAGTCTGTGGAAGAATATAGGAGAGGTCTATGTGTCTGTCTACATAACCCAATTGCATGTACAAACTTAAACTTGTTCTGCAACTTGAAAAAGGAGAACTTACAAGGGCATTACATGAGCAATGGTGATGATGGAAAGGAAGAGGGTACATCCTGGGCAGCAGGATTTAAATGCTCCTGCAATGGCACCAGCAAATGCGGCAGGAATAGCAGGCAGACATTACTAACATGGCAGTCAGTTGGTGCAGGCCATACTGTTCCGAAATAGAACTTTTACCTGTTTGGCCAGGATTGTGCCAGTCTATTTACCAGAAAAGAGGACCTGGATAACAGCTTGGCTGGCAGTTGTTTTGGCACAATCCGTAGGCCGTTCTTTCCTCATGCCTTTTATTTGTTCCTTAAGACTGGTGCTGTATGTTGCTAGCCTCAAGTAAAATGTTGGCACTGTTTTACCAAATAGATCACAATTTCTTCCTTCATCTGTGGTGTGGGAGATACCAGCAGTGGCAGCAAATGGACACTTGACAGGCCAGAGCCAGAATGTAGGCAAGTGTGGCATATTCAGTATGGGAGTAATAGTCGCCTACGTTAGTAGTTATTTGTGTGTGTGTGTGTGTGTGTGTGTGTGCGTGTGAATGAATGAATTATAATGCATTTTGAAAATGTGATTTATAAATGGTCTCCAGTTAGATGATGAGAATGTGGCTGGTTGTCCGTTTTCTACCTGAACAAAGCATAAATCTTAAGAGGTTTGCACACAGGAGTATGAACCACAAGGTTCCACTATTGGTCTAGGAGCTGGCACCTAGTCTCTCAACTCTGCAAGCTTGTATTTGCAGAGCCTGGTGCTCAAAAGTAATATAGGTCTCCTACAGTGGCGCTTAATAACATTAAAGGAAAACAAAAGTTAAGGCCGTTGCCATGACCTCTGAGCTAGGACTTGTGTTGCTTTGCTCAGGACCAACATGGCAAAGTTGACAGACAAAGCTGCTTGAGGAACACTTTTTCCAACCTCGTCTCCATGCCTCTGGGTCCCCCGTATTGCACCTGGATAGCATAAACACTCCTGTAGAGTTGAGAGAGACTGAACACTAACAACTAGACCCCATCCAGTCTCACTCTTGCGTGCAAACCTCTTAAGACCTATGGTTTGTTAAGGTATCCACTTTCTTTCACTTGGTTAAAACTTGCTCAAAACTATTAAATTGTTTTTATCATCTGTTGCTATTTTACTGATTTTTGTTTGTCAAAAAATCTATTTTAATATGTTTATGCTATACTGTTTTTGTAGTATATTTCAAAACCAAAAGTAACAGGTTTCCAGAGTGGGAAATACCGTATTTTTCGCTCCATAGGACGCACTTTTTCCCCTCCAAAAATGAAGGGGAAATGTGTGTGCGTCCTATGGAGCGAATGCAGGCTTTCGCTGAAGCCTGGAGAGCGAGAGGCATCGGTGCGCACCGACCTCTCTCGCTCTCCAGGCTTCAGGAAGCTATCCGCAAGCCTTGCAAGCCCGGTGGGAGTTCCCGCGGGCTCACAAGGCTTGCAGGCAGCAGCCTGCAGGCCCGGCGAGTGTCCGCAGGCCTTGCGCGCCCGGCAGGAGGTCCCGCCGAGCGCGCGAGGCTTGGGGCAGCAGCCTGTCGCCCGAGCACGGGGATCCCTCCGGAGGGCTCCCCGTGCTTTGGGCGAGTGTCTGCAGCCTTGCGCGCCCGGCAGGAGGTCCCGCCGAGCGCGCGAGGCTCGGGCGGCAGCTTGTCGCTCGAGCACGGGGAGCCCTCCAGAGGGCTCCCGTGCTTCGGGCGAGTGTCTGCAGCCTTGCGCGCCCGGCAGGAGGTCCCGCCGAGCGCGCGAGGCTTGGGGCTGCAGCCTGTCGCCCGAAGCACGGGAGCCCTCCGGAGGGCTCCCGTGCTTCGGGCGAGTGTCCTGCAAGCCTTGCGCGCCCGGCAGGAGGTCCCGCCGAGCGCGCGAGGCTCGGGCGGCAGCCTGTCGCCCGAAGCACGGGAGCCCTCCGGAGGGCTCCCGTGCTTCGGGCGAGTGTCTGCAAGCCTTGCGCGCCCGGCAGGAGGTCCCGCCGAGCGCGCGAGGCTTGGGGCTGCAGCCTGTCGCTCGAAGCACGGGGAGCCCTCCGGAGGGCTCCCGTGCTCGGGCGAGTGTCTGCAAGCCTTGCGCGCCCGGCAGGAGGTCCCGCCGAGCGCGCGAGGCTTGGGGCTGCAGCCTGTCGCCCGAAGCACGGGGAGCCCTCCGGAGGGCTCCCCGTGCTTCGGGCGAGTGTCTGCAAGCCTTGCGCGCCCGGCAGGAGGTCCCGCCGGGTGCGCGAGGCTTGGGGCGGCAGCCTGTCGCCCGAAGCATGGGGAGCCCTCCGGAGGGCTGCCGGTGCTTCGGGCGAGTGTCTGCCAGCCGTGCGCACCCGGCAGGAGGTCCCGCCGAGTGCGCGAGGCTTGGGGCGGCAGCCTGTCGCCGCGAGCACGGGAGCCCTCCGGAGGGCTCCCCGTGCTTTGGGCGAGTGTCTGCAAGCCTTGCGCGCCCGGCAGGAGGTCCCGCCGAGCGCGCGAGGCTTCGGGCGGCAGCTGTCGCCGAGCACGGGAGCCCTCCGGAGGGCTCCCGTGCTCGGGCGAGTGTCTGCAAGCCTTGCGCGCCCGGCAGGAGGTCCCGCCGAGCGCGCGAGGCTTGGGGCTGCAGCCTGTCGCCCGAGCACGGGAGCCCTCCGGAGGGCTCCCGTGCTCGGGCGAGTGTCTGCAAGCCTTGCGCGACCGGCAGGAGGTCCCGCTGAGCGCGCGAGGCTTGGGGCTGCAGCCTGTCGCCCGAAGCACGGGGAGCCCTCCGGAGGGCTCCCCGTGCTTCGGGCGAGTGTCTGCAAGCCTCGCGCGCCCGGTGGGAGGTCCCGTCGAGCGCTCGAGGCTTGGGGCGGCAGCCGCGGCGGGGGGGGGGAATAATTTTTTTTATTCATTTCCCCCCCCCCCAAAAAACGAGGTGCGTCCTATGGGCCGGTGCGTCCTATAGAACGAAAAATACGGTATGTTGCGGGACTAAAACTTGCGTTTTGCCTGACTGTTGGCCAGTTCTTTTTAATTATAGTTTTCTTACCACAATTTGCAAAAGACAGCGAGAAAAACAATAATATACTGGAAAGCCATTCTAAGTTCCTTATTTAAAACAAATTAAATTTCTCCATTGGTCAAATATATTTCTGTTTATTTAAATTCACCCCACGTGTAATCCTTGTAGAATCATAGAATTGTAGTGTTGGAAGGAACCCCAAGGGTCATCTAGTCCAGCCCCCTGCAGTGCAGGCATCTCAACTAGATCATGCATTTCAGATGACCATACAACCTCTGCTTAAAAACCTCCAAGGAAAGAGAGTCCACCACCTCTCATAGGAGTCTGTTCCACTGTCAAACAGCTCTTACAGCCAGAAACCTTTTCCTGTTTTTAGTCAGAATCTCCTTTCTTGTAACTTGAATCCATTGGAGAAAACAAGCTTGCTTCATTCTCTGTGTGATAGCCCTATATATATTTGAAGATGGCTATAATATAATATGGGGACACGGGTGGCACTGTGGTCTAAACCACTGAGCCTCTTGGGCTTGCTGATCAGAAGGTTGGCAGTTCGAATCCCCGTGATGGGGTGAGCTCCCGTTGCTTTGTCCCAGCTCCTGCCAACGTAAAAGTTCGAAAGCACGTCAAAGTGCAAGTAGATAAATAGGTACTGCTCCGGCGGGAAGGTAAATGGCATTTCCGTGCACTGCTCTGGTTCGCCAGAAGTGGCTTGGTCATACTGGCCACATGACCCGGAAGCTGCCTGCAGACCAATGCCGGCTCCCTTGGCCTATAGAGCAAGATGAGCACCGCAACCCCAGAGTCGTCTGCGACTGGACCTAACCATCAGGGGTCCTTTACCTTTTTTACAGATTATGAAGTAACACTTCTGAGAATGTTAGTGCTGATGTGAAAGCAACCAGCAGTACCTCAAGCAATAGTCTAAATGCCACCCTGATAACACTGGGATTGCCCTTCTCCCCATTCCTCTAGAAACATTTTTGTCCATGGCACAGCTGCTTCTAGTGGCAGATAGCCACAGTTTTTTCATCCCAGAATATAATTGGGTATTCTAATCTAGCATCATTCCATGGGGATATCTGGGGAGAAAATATGGCAGCTACCAGTGGAGTCCTTGCTGGCAGAGTTGGAGTGTAGAGGTCCCAGTAGGGATGTAAGTGGGAACAAGGATAGAATGGAAGACTCAGGGAAGTTTGTAAAACTAAAGATGTGGTAGATACATGTGTGTGTATGTTGTGAAAAGGGATGGGATTGCAGTGTAGTAAATGGAGAAGCGGTATCATGTATTTTGAGCAATAAGAGGGGCAAATCTCCTTCACTTTGAAGTTTTTGATAGAGGGCTAATATGTGACCAGAAGGTTCAGAGAGAAGCCTGAAACTATTTGGACTAGAGTGAAGAGGATAGGATGAATTTTTGCTTTGCATTATGTAGAGAGAAGCATTTTAACACAAATAGAATCGTCTGCTTTTTGTTCATCATGTTTAGTGATCAAAGATGAGGCTTATGCCTGTTTAACAGGGTGAATGTTGATGCCAGTGGATACAGACAGCAATTTTGGATGCAAGACGATCGTGTTCTTGTATACAAAGTTTGAGGTGGCAGTTAGATGTAAGTAAGTAAAAAGATAGCAGTTAGTAAAAAAAAAGATGGGCAGTCATATGTGGAATGGGATGGAAGAAGGATCACAGGTAGAAAGGAAGAGCTGTGTGCCATTATCATATAGATAACCTCATAGAATTGAGTTGGAAGGGACCACGAGAGCCATCTAGTTCAAACCCTTGCAATGCATGAACCTTTTACCCAAGATGGGAATTGAACCCATGACCCTGAGATTAAGAGTCCCTGAAAAGCCATAAAATTTGAAGGTATTCATAGACTGTGTCAAGAGAAACTTCCTCCCACAGGGAAGACTTCGATCAAGCAATCCCTTGAGGAGAGCCAGCTGAGAACAATATGTTTTTTAAAAAAAAGGAATGAAGGAAGTTGCAGTGGAGAAAGTGGTTGATGGTATAGAAGACAGCAGAGAAGTTGAGGAGTATACATACAGTGTACCATATCAGTGGAGAGCAGCCAGAAGTTGAGATAACTGTTCAGAGGGAAGGAAGGAAATTAGACAGTAGGTAGAGGAGCAGAATGAGACAGAAGAGGGTATGGCAGCTAGTGGTGTGTATGAATGTGGTGAGGGAGGAACTTAAGTAGACTGAAATGTTGGTGTGGAAGATAATGTCAGAGGGGATGACAACCTTTGATATGCTGTGATGTGCATACAAAGTGCATTGAGGCAGAAATTGTTCATATCTTCCATGACTTTGATGCTGCTGTTGATGAGTACAGATTATAAATGTGTCCAGCACTTATTTGAATCAAAGTATTTTCAGATGAGTTTCAGCTGTTGGGGTGTAGACAAGATTCTTTGGACAAGGGCGACCAGTTTATTGTATGTTTGATCTTTCCCCCTTGTTTTATATCAGGGAGGGAGGGATTGGCCAGCTAGGTAAAAGACGAGACGAATGCCTCACTTTGTGGAGGAGTGCTTCTGTCTTTGAAGGAAGTAACTATAAAGCTTCATGTAAAGAAGCTTTTGTGGATCAAGAAGTTAACAACCACCAGCCAATTGCTAGTACAATGGTACCTTGGGTTACAGATGCTTCAGGTTACAGACTCCACTAACCCAGAATTAGTATCCTTGGGGTAAGAACTTTGCTTCAGGATGAGAACAGAAATCGCACGACGACAGCGGGAGGCCCCATTAGCTAAAGTGGTACCTCAGGTTAAGAACAGTTTCAGGTTAAGAACAGACCTCCAGAACGAATTACAGTGGTGCCTCGCAAGACGAAATTAATTTGTCTAGCGAATTTTTCGTCTTGCGAAGCACGGTTTCCCATAGGAATGCATTGAAATTCAATTAATGCGTTCCTATGGTCAAAAAAAGTCCAATCAAAGCCAAATTTGGTACAACAATAGTTTATTAACTGCTCTTTAAAGTCACACATACTTTAAAGAGCATATCAAAAATTGAAGGAACAATAAATTAAGTTTCTAAACATGACAGAAAAACATTTAAAAATCAACAAAGTGTACTGTACATACATTTTCTAAGACTCTGGGGATCACTCGAAGAAGGTTCCTCTTCCACTCTTTGCTTCTTGCTGAGGAACCTGTCCATGGTCTGCTGCTTCATCCGCCTTTTCAGCAGCTCCCTGAGAGGCAACATGACCGTCGTATCAAAAGTGTTCGCTTGGTCATGTGCCACGTGCTTGTTCGGGTGGTGCCGCTCTGCAAAAGCCTGCACCTCCTTCCACTTCTGGCAAATGTCCCTCAGTTCTTTGGAGGACGGCCGTTCCTCAGTTGCTTCCTCCTCTTCCAGCGAGGCCTGCTCCTGCGCAACCTCTGCCTGCAGTTCAACCAGCTCCTGGGTGGTCAGCTCGTGGTCGTGCTCCTCCACCAGCTCGCTGACGTCCTCCTCTGTGACCTCCAGGCCCATGGTCCTCCCCAAGGCAACAATGTCCTGCACCACTGTTGACTCTGGTGCATCAGAGTCACTTGGTGCCACACAGTCCGGCCACAGGCTGCGCCAAGCGCAATTCAAATTTCTCTGGCTGATCCTGTTCCAGGCCGTGGTGATCATCTTCAAGCAGGTGACGATGTCGAAGTGGTCCTTCCAGAATTCCCGCAGGGTGATGGTGGTGCAATCAGTCACCTCGAAGCATCGCCTGAAAAGCTCCTTGGTGTAGAGTTTTTGAAATTGGCGATGACCTGCTGATCCATCGGCTGGAGCAGTGGCGTGGTGTTAGGCGGCAGGAACATGATGTTGATGAAGCTGAACTCCTCCAACAAGTCCACCTCAAGGCCTTTAGGATGAGCAGGAGCATTGTCCATCAGAAGCAAAGCCTTCAGCGGCAGGTCGTTGTCCAGCAGGTACTGTTTGACAGCAGGGCCAAAAGCAAGATTGACCCAGTCCACAAACAGCACACGTGTGACCCAAGCCTTGCTGTTGGATCGCCACATGACACTCAGCCGCTCCTTGTCGACCTTGTGTTTCTTGAAGGCCCGTGGGTTCTCCGAGTGGTACACCAGCAGGGGCTTGATCTTCAGGTCGCCGCTTGCGTTGGCACAGAAGAGCAGGGTCAGGCGGTCCTTCATGGGCTTGTGGCCAGGCAACTTGGCCTCCTCCTGTGTGATGAAAGTCCTTTTGGGCATCCTCTTCCAAAACAGCCCGGTCTCGTCGCAGTTGAAGACCTGCTGTGGAACGTAGCCCTCCATCTTCACAACCTCCAGGAACTCCAAGGCAAAGTCTTCAGCCGCAGGAACATCAGAACTGGCAGCCTCTCCATGCCTGACCACGCTGTGGATTCCAGATCTTGCCTTGAACCGGTCAAACCAGCCTCTGCTTGCCTTGAAGACTTCTGGCTCGCCTGAGGTTCCTGGCTGTTCCCGGATGAGGTCTGCGTGCAAGGCCTTGGCCTTCTCACAAATGACGGCCTCAGTCACTGTGTCCCCTGCACGCTGCTTCTCTTCTAACCAGATGAGCAGCAACTTCTCGACCTCCTCCAGAACAGCTGGGCGGTTCTTCACGATCCTGGTGACTCCCTTGGCTGCATCAGTCGCAAGGATCTTCTCCCTCATCTTCAGGATGGTCCCGATGGTCGATGGGTTCCTGCCGTACTCCCTGGCGAGGTCCGTCACACACATTCCACCGTCGTGCTTCCAGATGATCTCCTTCTTCATTTCCAGCGTCACCTTCTCCTCCTTCCTCTCGCCGGCCTCCGCAGCAGCAGCAGTCTTCTTGGGTCCCATGGCAGCACAGCTCTTACCTTCGTAAACTCAGAAAAAGAAAAAAAAAATCAGCAATTCAAACCCAGAACCAAGTCCTTGAATTCCAAACACCCAACCCAAAATCCAAAAAACCCCCAAAAAGTTTTAAAAGTTTAACTTACGAAATGGCTGCAAATCACCAAAGTCTTCAAAATCCTCAAATGGCTGCAAAAGAAGTTTTGGGAAAGCTTTAAAAATCACCAAAGTCTTCAAAAACCTCAACTGTTCCCCCAGCCCCTCCCCAACTGTTGCAAACCCCTCCTCAACTGTTCCCCCATCCACCCAGCACACAGAAATTCAAACCCAGAATTTTTTTTCAAAAAACAACAACATGGCCCAATGGTCACAGAAAACCATAAAAATTCAAAAAAAACCACACAAGCTCCCAGATTCTTGCAAACCCCTCCCCAGCTGTTCCCCCAGCCACCCAGCACACAGAAATTCAAAACCCAGAATTTTTTTTTCAAAAAAAACCAACATGGCCCAATGGTCACAGAAAACCATAAAAATTCAAAAAAACCCACACAAGCTCCCAGATTCTTGCAAACCCCTCCTCAACTGTTCCCCCATCCACCCAGCACACAGAAATTCAAACCCAGACTTTTTTTCAAAAAAAAAATAAACATGGCCCAATGGTCACAGAAAATCATAAAAATGCAGAAAAAACCACACAAGCTCCCAGATTCTTGCAAACCTCTCCCCAACACCAAGTCCTTGAATTCTAAACACCCCAACCCAAAATCCAAAACCCCCCCAAAAAGTTTTAAAAGTTTAACTTACCAAACAGCTGCAAAAGAAGTTTTGGAAAAGCTTCAAAAATTCAGCAAACTCTTTAAAAAGCTCAAGGCCACCACACCGCGTGCAATGTGTTGCTCCTCGAAGTCAAGTCGCAACTGCACCTCTTCCAGCAATGCACCCTGGGTATTAACGGTTTTACGAAAAAGGAAACAAACTTGCAAGACGTTTTCGTCTTGCGAAGCAAGCCCATAGGGAAATTCGTCTTGCGAAGCAACTCGAAAACGAAAAAACCTTTCGTCTTGCAAGTTTTTCGTCTTGCGAGGCGTTCGTCTTGCGGGGCACCACTGTAAGTTCTTAACCCGAGGTACCACTGTATTTCCTTCCTGAGCAAGGTTGTTATGGAGTTCCAGATACTCTTGGATGAGACTGGTGACCTGAAATCTGATTGAAATGAATTCAGATATAGTTTTGGCACAAACACCACTTGCTTTGTCTTGATGGATGACTAATGCTGAGAAACAAACAAGAAGGGTGTGTGACCATGCTTATTTTCCTGTACCTCTGAGCCACTTTCGGTACAGTCGTATCTTGGTTATCGAACACCTTCGTACTCGGATGTTTTGGCTCCTGAACGCCGCAAACCCAGAAGTTAATGTTCCGGTCATTTTACACCATTCTCTTGGCTAGCAACTGGAACAACTGTTGCTTGTTTTCATTAACACGTAGGAATTGCTTAAATTGCATTGGAATTGTAGTTTTTGACTTGAATACTGATGTCACTTCCTCTTGATTCTCAAGTATCTGCCTTCACGCTGTTACTAGAGTATCTATCAAACACCATATCTAGTCGTGAAATATCCTTCAGTTGATTATTGAAATATGATTTAAAAACACTTTCATAGTATTCTGAAAATGTTTTGACATTGCCCAGATTACATTTGTGGATTACAGCTGCTCCATCAAATATTTTAACTATTACATTTGGTTTGCTGTGATTAAAGATGTCATCACATTTTGATTGAATACAGTCTATAATTTCAGACTTGTTGGTTGGTTTTCGGAGTTTTTCATCATCTGAAATGGAGGGTGGGTACAATTGCTTTTCATAGGAAAAGAAAGCATCAATGTCACCATCCCGTACTTCAGATATGGCATATGCTCTGCAGAACCAGTTGGAGTCTTTTCGCAAGTTAGTAATCTTGGACTTTGTTTTACTGGTGCTTTTTGTTCTATTAAAAATGTGAAGGTTGCTCCTTGGAATAACTTCATGAATTGTATTTTGAACTTGATCAAGACAAGGCATGACATATTCTTCACACTTTTTCAGTCCTATTGTAAATGCCTCTCTAACACACTTGACAGCTTCAACACTTAGAATTACTTTTGAGCCCCCAATTGACACCAAATCAGTTTCTTCAAATGGATTTCCTTGTTCAGTTAAGATGTTGATCATTTCTTTGACATGGACTTAAGAACCTTTTCTCAAATCATCCCTGACCACTGGTCCTGCTAGCTAGGGATCATGGGAGTTATAGGCCAAAAACATCTGGAGGGCTGAGTTTGAGGAAGTCTGGGTTAGCACGCGCATGTGCACACACACACACACACACACATACATACATACATACATCATAGAATAGCAGGGCAGTGTATAGTGAGAAAAAAACAACACTCCATTAAAAAGAGTACACAATAATCATTATGGTGCTTTAAACAGCTGCATAAAAAGTCTTCAAGGCTTTAAAGGGTGGAAGAGTGTTCTGCAGTATGTGACTGGCAACACTAAATGCCCACATTCTAGCTGAGGACCGTCCGACCTCGGTAACATGAGAACGACTAGCAGTGCATCTATAGATGATCTCAGTGATCCAGCTGGGGTATAAACGCTCAGCTGCTTATGGTGCTGTGAACCCAAGTTGTTCAGGGCTTTGTATATCAACACCAAGTGCCTTGAATCTGGCCCAGTAGCATTTGGGCAGCAGTGCAAATGCTGACTGCCTTCCCCCATCAGCGTTCTGCAATTTTTAGACCAGCCCCAAGAACATAGAGCACATTGCAGCAATCTAGTCCTGAGGTTAAATAACATTGGGGACAAAATTGTGCCATGTAGAACCCCACAGCACAAGTTGCAGGCAGGGTTCAAAATTAGCAGGGCGTCAGGTGCATTTTGTGCCTAAATTCTCCATTTGTGAGCTCAAAAAGTCTGGGTGCCATTTTTGTGTCTGCTGACACTCAAGGACTACTGAAATGTATGTGCTCAAAGTATATGGTAAGGATAGACAATACGTTAAGGCGTTTAACAATAAAGAGTAGAATGTTTGAAAACTGAAGTATGGTACCAATATTTTTATTGTCAACACCAAATTAAAATGTATTAACAATTTCTGCTAAAAATGAGATATTGACAATGTGTCACTTATGTGAATTGCGTATTAATTCATACTTAACAAAATAATAACAAAAATGGTTGTCAACATACACACCCCACTGATGACTAGACATTCTGTTTTGGTGCCCACAGCCCAGGTCCCAAAAGCCATTTGACTCCTAGCTTTTCTATACCACCAGTTCCAGTCCCACACAATGAATCTGGGAGGTTACTGTTGTCATTGGTATCAAAGTTCATAAGAGTAACAGGGCCACACTCCCCTGGCCCTCTATTAATAACAAGGCTAATATACTCTTGAAACCTGGCCTATATCCAGTTTGAGGTGGATCCAGATAATCATTGTCATCTAGGAATGCTAGAATTGCTCCATAACCACCATCTTCACCATGTTTCTCAAAAATAAGTGTATTGTGTCCACTGTGGGGTTTTAAAGGAGTAGCTGCCTATTTAAGGGCAGCTGGGACCTCCCCCTCATGCAGTGATGTGTTCACAACACCCTAGACCCACCCAGCCACCCCGCTGTGGTTAGCTGTAGCCAGCCAGAAAGGGCAAATGTCCAGAGGGCATATGCTTGGCTCTATTTATTCAAATATCTGTCCACATCTTCAGGCCACATCAACTGGAAATGGTCCCATAACAATGGGCCAGACACTGCCTTGGAACTCTGATTGGATTTGCTATAATAATAACATCCAGGTCACTATGAAGTTTAGAGATTTTGTCCTTGAAGTATAGAATCACAGAATTGTACAGTTGGAAGGGACCAGAAGGGTCATTTAGTCAAACCCCCTGCATTGCAGGAATCTTTTGGTTAATGTGGGGCACGGACCCATGACCCTGAGATTAAGAGTCTCATCCTCTATTGACTGAGCTACATATATCAGAGATAAAGTGTCTTGCAAGCTAGTAGCTGCTAGTTACCATGTGTTCTAGGAGTCAGCCCCTTGAATTTGGGCTAACTAGTCTCTGAACTACATGGAACAACTTTGCCAGCTCACTTATCAAGGGTGTGATGGACATGGTGAATTATGACTTTGCTGCCTTCACGGCCGTGTGGTAAACATGACTACAGGTGTTCAGTCAACTTTGGAGCAAGATTTCAACCACTTGCAGTTAAGTATCCATTCATGTGATGTCCAGTACTAGAGAGGACCTTTGAGAGTGAATCTATTTACATTAGATTCATATAAGGTGGTAGAAATGTTGAATCAGTAACTGGGCCCAGTAATGGACTGGATGACGGTCAATATACTGAAATTTGATTCAGATAAGACAAGAGCTGTTGGTGGGCAACACTTTGAGTTGTACTTCCCATAAAGAAGCAGGTTTATCAGTTGGTGCTCTAGATCTAGCTTTGTTGCTGGAGGCACAAGTAGCCTCTGTGGCATGAGGTGCCATTTATCAGTTTGACTGGTGTGCCAGCTGCTGGGACAGAGCCTACTTTTAGTTATCTCTGCTGTGCTGGCCTAGAGATTAGACTACTGTAATGCATTATATGGGGACGCGGGTGGCTCTGTGGGTTAAACCACTGTGCCACTTGGGCTTGCTGATTGAAAGGTTGGCAGTTTGAAGCCCCGTGACGGGTTGAGCTCCCATTGCTTGGTCCCAGCTCCTGACAACCTAGCAGTTTGAAAGCACACAGTGCAAGTAGATAAATAGGTACTGCTCCAGTGGGAAGGTAAACGGTGTTTCCATGCGTTGCTCTGGTTTCACCAGAAGCGGCTTAGTCATGCTGGCCACATGACCTGGAAAAACTGTCTGCTTAAGCGGACAAATGCCAGCTCCCTCGGCCTTTAAAGTGAGATGAGCGCTGCAACCCCAGAGTCGTTCGCGACTGGACTTAATTGTCAGGGGTCCCTTTACCTTTACCTTAATGCATTACAGTGGTACCTCGGGTTACATACGCTTCAGGTTACATACGCTTCAGGTTACAGACTCCGCTAACCCAGGTAAATAGTGCTTCAGGTTAAGAACTTTGCTTCAGGATGAGAACAGAAATCGTGCTCCGGTGGTGCGGCAGCAGCAGGAGGCCCCATTAGCTAAAGTGGTGCTTCAGGTTAAGAACAGTTTCAGGTTAAGAACAGACCTCCAGAACAAATTAAGTACTTAACCCGAGGTACCACTGTATATGTTTGGTTGCCTTTTGAAGGCAATTGAAAAATTACATTTAGTGCAAAATCCAACTGAGTGTGCCAACTGGGACCAGGCATTGGGGGCACTGATGGTACTGATCTCTGCACTAGCTCCTGTTTCTTTTTAATGCCCTTCACAGCTTACAGCCAGGGTATCTGATAGACCACCTGTCTCCTTTTGAGTCAACCTGTGTAGTTCATCTTTAGGGAACCTTCTCTTGGGTTCCTCTGTTTTCACAACTATGTCAAGTAGTGACCAGGCAATGGATTTCTTTGTGGTGGCAATCCAGTTCTGGAATACTTCCCTCAGTGAGGCTTTCGTCGTGCCTGCTTTTAGGACACCTAGGTGCTTACACTCCGAGGCAATTTAGCAGAATAAGTGTTGCCTAAGTTTTTGTGCTGCTTTATCATGTGCTATTGTAAGTGTTGCTGATGTTATTTGATGCATACATTATATTCTCTTGTGTTTTAAAATCTTTATTGTAAAGCTGTATTTGGAAAATTTAGTTGGTTGGATCTACTGTAATTAAAGCTAAGAGTCAGGAGGGCAAGTAATGGGCTCATGGAGCTCGTGTACATAGTTATTGTGCTTCTGCTCCTCACGACGGTATTTGTGCCATCCTTGTACAAAGGTCTTCAGCGTCTTGCAAACAACATGGAGCCAAATACTGCTGTTAACTTTTATTCTTCGCTTTAATTTATTTTTAGGAGAATGACATCTTCCTGGGTTGGGAAAAAGGAGCTTACAAGAAATGGGGAAAGAGTAAGAAAAAATGCTCTGATCTAACACTAGAAGAAATGAAAAAACAGGCTGCTGTTCAGTGTCTTCGCTCTGCTTCTGATGAAGTAAGAATTAGCACACTTGTTTAATTCTATGTAACTTCTCATTCTTAATGTGGTATTGGGGTGGATAAATTTTAGTTTTGTAATGTTGGTAAATTTCAGTTATAGAAAGCTTCCCTTCAAAATATCCTAGTTGAATATGAAATCTTAAGTTTAATCTTTTTTAAAAAATAAGAAACTTCATTATTATTGTTATTGCCATTTTCATACAGAATGGTTATTGACATAAGCACATACAAAACGCAGTAAGAATAATGAATGTAAAAATACAAATAGAAAAATGAAATGAAAATACAGAGGTGAGGGGAAAACTGGGAAACAACTGAGAGTGCTATGCTGTATATATTTATCACATATAAAAAGAAAAAGGTGAGTCAAATTAGTTATCAATAAAGCCTCTCCACCTATTTATCTGTGGAGCAGGGGGTTTAGTAGGCTGTGTGGACAAGTTAACATAGGAGAAAAACTTATACCATCAAATGAAAGTGGTCTATTTTTGGTGAACAATCAATGACTCTCCATTTATGTGTCAGGTGTTCTCCAATGTCCCATACTTTTGCTGGCCACTCCTCTCGGAAAGGAGGTGAGTCAGATTTCCAGTGGGAGGCCACAGACACAAGAGATTTGTGCATGATGGGTGAATTGGTACCAGGCTCCAAGGATAGGAGTGATGGTGGAGATAGTTTCAAAAATTTGGGTCCAGAATCTCTGAACTATGCAGCGATCCCACCACATATGGAGCAGTGTTCCAATGTGACCACACCTGTGACCACAACCCCGCCATCATAAATTAGAGTACCCTTTGCCAATTCTAGGCAGGTGGAGTGGAGTCCAATGCCATCTTAACACTGTTTTCAGTGTGGCTTTCTGTATTCTTACAGAAATTGTTTTAAGTGAGGGTTTAGACTACATCGTTTCCCATACTTGTTGCTCTATCCAGAGACCCAGATCACTCTCCCATACTAATTGTAGCCCCTGAGAATGAACCATTAATAATGTGCGCCATTTGCTTTAATTGAAAAGCCTCATAGCATAGCCTAAGACATGGGACCCCAAGACCTCCTTGGGTCCTGGGATGATAAAGTCTGACAACTCTGCTACTCCTTCCTCCAAGATTTCCAAGTCCCGTATTTCTGGAAGAAGCAAGTTCCCTTTATTTATTTTTCTGCTGGATTGGCTTTGGCTTTGCCCTCTGATGACTGGTTTCATGGCATCCCATAGGCTCGAGATTTTAGTGTCCAGGATGGCATTTTATAGGAAATAAAACTTTAGCGCTTGATTTACTTTAGCCAATTTGTTGGTTAGTAGGAGAGAATCAAAAGTCAGCGAAATGAACTTGGGCTTAGAGAGTCCACTGCTAAAGAGATAGAATTTGGGGCATCATCTGAGACTGGGATGATTCCTATATCTGTTTTTGTCACTTTATACCAGAGATCTTTGGATATGAAGATATAGTCCAAATGGGCCATACATGTACGAGTGAAATGTAAATTCCCTGTCAGTGGGGTGGCAGATCTGCCAGAGGTTGCATAAATTATTGGCATGCTAAAGTTTAGTGAAGGCTTCACCAGGCTTTAGGGAGCTAAACTTTCTCAGACCCTAGTGAGGTATCTGTCTTTTGGGTCCGCTATGGAGTCCTGAATAGTGAATGGGCATTTATTTATTTTTGCAATCATTATGGCCACACCCCTTGCTGAGGGCACAGGTTTGGTCACCTAACCATTTGCCCTTTAATAGCAGTGTAGTTGTAGCAATGTAGTTGTTTTGCTGTTTTTCTTTTGGTGTGTCTCTTGTATCAAAATTATATCTGGATGTTCCTTTTTCAGGAGCGTTTCTACTCTGGAGCACCTCACAGCAGAGCCTAAACCTTTAGCATTTAATGAAATAACCTTTACAGTGGGTGGCACTATAACCATAGTTGAGAACAAATGGTGCTTATCCAATATGTCAAAGGAAGAAGTAAGAACACAGCAGCATGCTTGAGGGTTGATTGCACTGTACAATAAACTCTCAACAGGAGAGAACAGTAAGAACAGAGAACTTCAACTTTTAACATAGCAAACTGTTCAAGGTGCATCCAGCTATCTGTGGCTGGAATAGGGGAAGCTGTGGAGAGCATTATGCTAGCACACCAAGGAACAGAGGGAGGGCTGAGGCAGAGAAAGATCTTTTGCTCCACACCCTTTCCTCCTCTGGGAGTTAGTCATAATAAGCCTGATGGCCAAGTGCTTGGTTTAATCCTTTGTGCTTTACAAAGGCCTAAGAGCCATGGTGTGAACGAAGAGAGTCTGCTGCAGAGCTTTGCATTTTCTTTTTCTCTGTGTGTGAGAACCCTGAGGAAGAGGAGGGGAGGTTAGTTCCACTCCTTGCAGCTACTTTGGGGATTGCAATTTTACGTTCATGGGTAGTATTTTCAGAGGCAGTTTATCAGAGGCAGCAATGTGTTTGCCATTGACTTGCACCAACAACTTAAATGGGAACCCCCATCAGTAGGAAATCCCTGCAGCCTTCAGCGCAGTGGTGTGACATATGAATTATCTCTGTTGAGCCAGTTTCCTGGCATAAATCTGGAAATGCCTCTACACTGAATGAGTTGTATTTAAGTTCTGGATAGTTGCGTAGGGCATTTAAAATCAGAGTTTTAGTTTGGTAGCGTTCAAAGCAGACAACAATATTTCTTGGTGCCTCTGAGTTACTTGCTCTTGGTGCACCCACTCTGTGTCCCCTTTCAGTGTCATGGAGAGTGATGGGGGGTTATATATTCAAACTGTCCAACCAACTTAAAATCCAATCAGTCATCTCTCCCCCTCCTCTTTTTCCAGAATCCCATGTAGTTTAATTTTTTTTCAAATTTTTCTCTATCCAGTTGAGAAGCAAATTTTAAATCTAAATATTCATTTGCCATTTTACCTTAAGTGCTTGCAGTTATGTTTGGGTACTTAAGCTGGTATTGAGGGTCTCGTTTGCTGTTTGTGCTACATCAGCTATTTGATTAGATAACATATCAATCTTGCTTTCAAGTGACTGCAAAGGAGCTGCTCAGTCTGTTGCTAAAGTCTTTCTTATTTTATGAATACACTCCCCTCCCTCTTTTTTATTATCTAAGCTGCTACAAGGTTTCCTGCCTTTTGCTTTTAGGCCCTGGAGCCATTTTTTCCTCACAAGCTTCTTCTGAGAGCTCTGAGTAATCAGGAGCTACAGCTTCCTACCAGTCAAGCCTTGCTAACTTACCTTTCAGGCCATGCAACCCCTGCAGCATTACCTTTCAGGAGGTGTGCTGAGAAAGGTGAAGAAGAGTGATTTTGCAGACATTCAAAGCAAATTCATTCCCCAGGGTGCTGGAAACTTGAAATCAAGCTGCCATTTGACTGCAGCAGGCCAAGGGGAGGGGAGGCTAAATAGGTTGTATATGATGGGCATAGTTACAATCTGAGTTTCAGTAAGACAGAGGTGATGATCAGAGCTCTTGGTAGCTCCATGATCTGCTCAAAAGTTGTGCAGTTTACATTCAGAGCCAAATTTAATCATTTGAAGTCATGGTGCAAAGAAACCATCTGGAGCATTCTCTAAGGCTCCTGATTGTTCTTGTGCAGCTGTGGCTTTACTTGCCCTTCACCTGATGTCAGGTGAGTGACAGCTGGATGTTGTTTGGCCAAAGTGGCCGTCTTGCAGGCCATCTGGGGTATGTGTTCCTATTTAGGCGCATGGGCCAGTGGTTTCTCACCATAGTAGTAGAGCATGGGACATAGAGTGTTGTGCCAAAGGCTAGACATGTGCTGGAGCATTGGGTTGAATAAATGATTGAAAATACATTTCAGCTGGTAGACTAACAATTAATGAAAATAAGCAGTAGGTGACAAGGTGTAAGGATCAAGTGAAATGCAGCTGGTTGGCCACTATCTCTCACTGTACTTCCGTATCTATAGTTCTGAATAACACTAATATTTCAAAAATTAGAGATTTGTTGGGATTGCCTTTTGACATTGGCTCCCAGTACGTTTCCAAGCACAATTCAAAGTGTTGGTGCTGACCTTTAAAGCCTTAAACAGCCTTGGCCCAGTATACCTGAAGGAGCGTCTCCACCACCATCATTGTGCCCGGACACTGAGGTCCAGCTCCAAGGGCCTTCTGGTGGTTCCCTCACTGCGAGAAGCAAAGCTACAGGGAACCAGGCAGAGGGCCTTCTAGGTAGTGGCGTCCGCCCTGTGGAACACCCTCCCATCAGATGTCAAAGAGATAAACAACTACCTGACATTTGGAAGACACCTGAAGGCAGCCCTGTTTAGGGAAGTTTTAATGTGTGACAGTTTAATGTATTTTTAAGCCCAGAGTGGCTGGGGAGACCCAGCCAGATGGGCGAGGTACAAATAAGTTGTTGTTGTTGTTGTTGTTGTTGTTGTTGTTGTTGTTGTTGTTATATTACTTGGGATAAGATCTGGTGTAGCTATTGAACTGACCTTTTTTGGTTTTAAAATTAGAGTTCTTTGGGGAACTTTTGGATAGGTAACATGGCCCTCCGCTCCATTTCATTTTAGTTTGACACCTACCGTATCTTTAAGGCCAAACTACACATTCCACTGAGATTCCTGGCTGAAGATTCCAGTTAGTTCCTTAAAAGCAGCTCCAGTGGCTCCAAATTTGAGCAAAGATGGGGAAATTGTTTACTTGCTCACACTGCAACCAAAAATTAACTAGTTGGCTTAGATACAAGCCACTGTTCTCTTTGCCAGCATTACCTTGGAGTGGGGGATACATGCTGAGACTCTTACGGAGACAATATATATGAAGCACTTTCAGTACTTGAAATGTATTAAGTAAATGCCAAGTGGTCATTGTAAGCTTTTTTATTATTACACAGAGCTCTGGGATTGAGACTTTAGTGGAGGAGCTCTGCTGCAGGTTGAAAGATCTCCAGAGTGAACAAGGTGAGAAAAACATTTGGACTACATATCTTCAGAGTTATTTGTTATTTTTATTTAAGTATTTATAAACCACACTTTCATATAAAATATCACAAGGCAGTGGGGCTAGACCATTCTTAGATGCATTAGGTCAGTACCTTACACAGTTCTATGGTTTCAGTTAGGCTAGAACAAAACCCAGGTCTCTCAGATTGTAAGGTGTCTGCCATTTCAGGCTGCTAGTGAGAACTCGCATGTTTAGAGTGCTTCACCCTTTACCCCAGTCTTAGACATTGAAGTCAAGCCTTTTATCTGGTTTGCTGAGCACAGGAATACTTTTATTGTGATGGAGCATTCAGTCATGTGAGCCTCCAATGCAGCCTGAAATAGTACAATCCACTTTATTGGCTCATTATGATAACTGCACCGAAGTTCTTCAAGGACTGTAGATGTAATATTGGGTCATGATGTGCGACATTTCTTAATAAATTAAGATCCGTCCCACAATATATAAGGAACATTGTGAAGCCATAACAAGAGAATGTAATCCGTGGGAGACCAGCTTGGTGTTGCTGGATTACAATTTGGAACATCCCTGTCTATCTTGGCTACCCCAGTCAATGACCAGCTTTCTAGAGTTGTTAATGGGTTGATAAAAGTCTGAAGATGCACTTGAAAAAGTTTATATTGAAACTAAGAAAATACAATACTTATAACAGTAACACACTTAAGTATTTAGCCTGGGAAGGCAAGCCAGAATAAATTATTGTCACTTTAGGCCCTTTGAAATCAATGAGATTTAAGTTGGTGGTCATCATCATTCTCTCTTTTCATAGCAAAGGATCTATTAAGTCACTTGAGTGATGATTCAGAGGTTAAAGCCTACACTTGACCTTGTTTTAGATTGCATTTTAAGCTAGACCTTTACCTGCAGTAATACATACAGATTTACAATTGTGGGATTGATACGAGGGAGCAGACAAAAGCAAGCCATCACCCCACTTGGATCCATCCCTTGGCTTCAAAAAATAACACATTGTGTCTCATTAATGTCGTTCACCAGAAATATCTGGGTGATCTCATACTCTTAACTCACTGAGTTCTCATCTTAGTTCCGGTCTCAAACCCCAAACGTTTTACTCTCATCTACCAAACAGCTGAACATCAACACATTTTTATCTGCATCTGTAGCTGGTGTTTTTGGAAAGCTTAGGTAAATGAATTTTCCTGGCCTCCTTGAAATTAATTAATCCATTACTTTCATAACTGCTCCCCACTTGTCTCCAAACAGAATACTATATTGTAAAAGAAATGTGGGTTTTTTTGTTTTTTAAAAAATGTGGGTTATTTGAGCAGATTATTTGAATTACACCCCTGCATGATATAAAGGCTGTATTAACAAATTTTATATATTTTAATGGCTTCAATAACTTATGAGTATGTTTTAGAAAATTATTAAAATTAGTTAAATCCCAAATGTATATAAGGCTACCCTGATTGTGTTCAAATAATATTTGATGAATTTTAGAGGACAAAATTCACTTGATGAAAGGTTTAAAATAAAGTGCTTAAACCATTAAACTATGCAATAAGACTACTGTAAATACAATTACTTAATATGATGCATGTTTCTCATTATAAGATATAGCATGGTAGGGAAAGTATGATATAAAATTTTCAGAAGACTGTTTTTATTTTATTTCTTAGCAGAGGAGAAGATTCACAAAAAACTTGAGGGCTCTTTGCCTCCTGAAGTTGATTTCTCTCCTGCAGCAAAGGATCAGGTGGAAATGTAGGTATCTCTCTTTTAAAATGAAGTATTGTGTTTTCCTGTGTATGTTGATGTAAAAGCCAAATGCAATTTTAAATAGACAGTTAAACATATACAGGTCTTAATATAAGGGTTTCCGTCTTTTGTTTTCTATTAAAATGTTTACTTCTGCCTTGTAATCATAAAATAAGATTTTTAAAAAATATATACATGAGAAAGTTATATTTTCCTTTGACAAAGGATAATATTGGTTTTCATCCTCAGCAAGGCTTCCCCAGTTTATCAGTCCTACCAAACAAGGTGCTAAGGATGAGAAAAATAAGCAGGGAAAAGCTATTGATTTGATGAATCACAGGTGGCTGTGGTCTAAACCACCGAACTTCTTGGGGTTGCCAATCATAAGGTCAGCAGTTCGAATCCACATGACGGGATGAGCTCCTGTTGCTTTGTCCCAGCTCCTGGCAACCTAGCAGTTCAGCGCAAGTAGATAAATAGGTACTGCTACAACGGGAAGGTAAACTGCATTTCTGTGCACTCTGGCACTTGTCACAGTATTCCATGCGCCAGGAGCAGTTTAGTCATGCTGGCCACGTGACCCGGAAAAGCTGTCTGGAAGCAGAGATGAGTGCCACACCCCATAGTCAAATTTGACTGGACTTAACCATGCAGGGGTCCTTTACCTTTCACCTTGCTGGAGAAGTTAGTTTTGTTGTGTCAGAAATGTTGTCTTCAGTGACACTTTTTTTATTTTTCATGATATGCGGTATAGTGAACAACCTGTTGAGTAAAATAACATGAATTTACAAGATGGTCTCCTGGACATCTGGCTTCTTTGCCTCTTCATGCTTGATGACAACATTGGGCACCAGGGACTCTAGAGATCTGTGTTTCTGTGCCCCTCCTGACATGGATGGAACCAGTGCTCCCCCCCCAAAAAAAAGTGTTTAGGGGTACTCTCATATTCCTACTCATATTGAAATACTGCCCCTCAGTGAGGCCAAGCTTAAGATTCATAAAATGTTTAGTGGTATGCGTACCCCTGCATCCCCCCAGAAAAAAGCACTGGATGGAACCTTTCCTTCTGCCTCCCACTTTGCACTGCTTTTCAGAGGTGGCAGAAAGGGCCCACCTATTTCTGCAGAGAGACTTTGGACACTCATGTGCATGTACAGTGAGCCAGGATGTCTGGGCACAATGAGTATTCATTCCCGTGATGCCCTCAAACCCCAAGCAATACAGGTATGGGAGTGTCTGAGACATTCCAATTGCCCCTTCATATAAAGGGAACCCTTGTCTGTCATCATCCCCCTTTCATCTAGCAAGCTATGAGAGAAGGATTGAGTGTCAAATCCATATCTACAGTAAGTCCTGCATATAAAACTTCTTCCTGATTTATTTATTTTTTCGTTTCTCCATTCAGGTATTATGAAGCATTCCCACCTCTTTCCAAGAAACCTGTTTGCCTGCAAGAAATTATGACAGTGTGGAATAAATCCAAAATTTGTTCTTACTCCAGCTCCTCATCTTCTTCTACTGCCCCAGCAACTAGCACAGATACATCATCTCCAAAGGATTGTATTAGTGAAAGTGAAATTTCCAAAGAGAGAAATGGTAACAAAGTGCATGCCACTGTCCATGAGAGAACCACACAGAAAAAGGATAAAGATGAAAAAGAGAATAAGTTTGGAAGTAGCAGTGTTGAAGATAAATCTGTTTTATATAAAAAGCAAGTCCGACATAAATCTGAGGGAAAGATACGCCCGCGATCCTGGTCTTCTGGCTCCAGTGAAGAAGGTTCAAATTCTAGTGGTAATCAAGGTGAACTAAAGGCAACCACAAAATGTGTTAAAGTCAGGCATAAAACAAGGGAGGTTCGGAGTAAAAAAGGACGCAATGGACAAAGCAGGCATTTGGCAAAATTTGGTGAGAAGTCTGAAAGAAAAATTCATGGTGGCAGCAGCAGTAATGGATCTATCAAACAACTCTGTAAAAGAGGTAAACGGCCATTAAAAGAAATTAGAAGGAAAGAAACTGGGAACTACGAGAGAAAAGAGCTATATTTTGATAGCAGAAATGAGAAGGAATATAAGGAAGAGCCCTTATGGTATACTGAGCCAATTACTGAATACTTTGTTCCCCTGAGTAGAAAAAGCAAGCTGGAGACGACGTACCGCAATAGGCAAGATGCATGTGATGCAACTTCGGAGGCTGTAGAAGAATTAGCTGAATCGGTGCAAGGTCTCTGCATTAGCAACAATAATATTAATAAAACATACCTCGCAGCAGGTACTTTCATTGATGGCCATTTTGTGGAAATGCCTGCAGTTCTAAATGAGGACATTGGCCTCACTAGGACCTCAAAGTGTTCTCAACCAGAGGACGATACACACTCAGATGGCGTTCATCTGTCAGAACTAACGCACTTCTATGAAGTGGATATTGACCAATCCATGTTGGATTCTGGTGCCTCAGGCAAGATGGAAGGAGAGAGTCGGATTTTGAATATGATTCGGCAGAAAAGTAAAGAGGGGACTAATTTTGAGGCAGAATGTTGCATAGTGTTTGATGGAATGGAGTTGCAAGGGGAAAGTGCAATATGGGCAGATTCAGCCACCTCTGGTGCTGAAGGGTGGTTCTTACAAGATCTTAGTAATTTAGCTCAATTTTGGGAGTGCTGTTCGTCTTCTAGCTCTGGTGATGCAGATGGGGAAAGCTTTGGAGGAGATTCTCCTATTAGACTTTCTCCTACTTTAGACAGCACAATGCTTAATTCTCACATGCTTGCAGGCAATCAAGAGCTGTTTTCAGATACTAATGAAGGGTCTGGTTTAAATTCTTTTTCAGTGTTTGAAGTGCAATGCAGTAATTCTGTCTTACCATTTCCTTTAGAAAAATTCAGTTTGGGAAATGAAAATACAGATTCTAGTAGCAATGTTGGTATGTTTGGGAAAACACAGTCTAGATTGTTAATATGGACCAAAAATAGTGCCTTTGATGAAAACGAACACTGTTCTAATTTATCAACAAGAACTTGTAGTCCATGGTCATACTCTGAAGAAACACGTTCAGACAATGAGACTTTAAATATTCCATTTGAAGAATCCCCTCAATTTAACTCGGATGAGATAAATTATGTAGTTCCCAGAGTATCTTCAAGTTACATAGATGAAGAAATTGTAGATTTTTTGCAGGAGGAAACCTGCCCGGAACAGACTAGACCTTTGGGAGAAATGCCTACCTTAGTTTTTACAAAAAAATCAAAACTAGAATCTATATGTGGTATACAATTAGAACAAAAAGCCGAAGATAAAGAATATGAATCTACACAAGTGTGTAGTGACAGCAGTCCACATGAAGATGACTATGGCTCAGGGGTTATTAAAGACATCTGGACAAATATGACAGACAGAAATTCTGCAGCAATTATAGAAATAGATGGTGTAGAAGAGGAGCTGTTTTCAACTGATGTAAATCATTATTGCTGTTGCTTAAATGACACAAAGGTAGAAATTCTTCAGGACCCTAACAAAGCAGTGCAAAGATCAGAATATCATCTGTGGGAAGGACAGAAAGAGAATTTGGAGAAAAGAGCTTTTGCTTCAAACAATTTATCAGAAGTGGATTGTGGGGATTATACTACACCCTCCAAACCATGGGATATTAACCAAGATAAAGAAAGTTCATTTATTCTTGGTGGTGTGTATGGGGAGCTCAAAACCTTTAACAGTGATGGAGAGTGGGCAGTGGTGCCGCCTAACCATCCAAAAGGAAACTTACTACAGTGTGCAACTTCTGATGTAGTTACAATAGCTGGTACAGATGTTTTCATGACACCAGGAAACAGCTTTGCCCCTGGTCACAGACAGTTATGGCGACCTTTAGTATCATTTGAACAGAGTGAGCAGTTGAAGTGTGGTGATCGTGGATTAAATAGGGGTTTTTCATTTATCTTCCATGAAGACTTGTTAGAAGCTTGTGGTAATTTCCAAGATGAAGAGTCTGGTCTTGAATATTCATTCTCTTCCTTTGATTTGAATAATCCATTTTCACAAGTTCTTCATGTAGAATGTACATTTGAACCAGAAGGAATTGCATCCTTCAGCCCTTGCTTTAAACCCAAATCTATTCTTTGCTCTGATTCTGATAGGGAGGTTTTTCGTCCTAGAATATGTGGTGCTGGGAGAACACAATACAGAGCTATACGAATTTCTCCTAGAACTCACTTTCGCCCCATTTCTGCATCTGAACTTTCTCCATGTGGTGGAAGTGAATCTGACTTTGAATCAGAGAAAGATGAGGGGATTATCCCTGCCCCTTCACAGACTGAAGTGTTCGATGATCCACAAGCAGATCTTAAACCACTGGAAGAAGATGCAGAAAAAGAAGGGCATTATTATGGCAAATTGGAACTTGAGTCTGGAAAGTTCCTTCCTAGATTAAAGAAGTGTGGAATGGAAAAGAGTGCACAGACATCTCTGGATTCACAGGAAGAATCATCTGGAATATTGCTGTTGGAAAACGAGAGTTCTTGCGTAGAATGTGGTATAAAAGACCTGCAAGACGTGATGGCTGCGGAAAACCCTAACACTAGTTGCAATGTTGTAGAACCACAAGAAGAGGAAGACAAGTCTTGCAGTTGTGGAGATAATTCATATGAAGAAAATCTTGTTACTTCAGCACAGCTGAAAGAGGTATGTTCTTGAGAGATGTACAGTGGTGCCCCGCAAGACGAAAAACTCGCTAGACGAAAGAGTTTTCCGTTTTTTGAGTCGTTCCGCAAGACGAATTTCCCTATGGGCTTGCTTTGCAAGACGAAACTTCTTGCGAGTTCTTGCAAGTTTGTTTCCTTTTTCTTAAAGCCGCTAAGCCACTAATAGCCGTGCTTCGCAAGACGAAAAAACCGCAAGACGAAGAGACTCGCAGAACGGATTAATTTCGTCTTGCGAGGCACCACTGTATTCTGTACATTTTTTTGTATAATTCAAAGATCTAACATATTTCAGAAAAATGGAACCTTAATGCCATCACAAAAGGCATGTTGGCTATGAATTACATTAATGTGTTAAATAGGTTGTGATCAACATTGTTCACACATGTAAACTCAAAAATACTCAAGAAAGCAGTAGAGGAACATGAGAGAGACAGGGTTGGCATCCAGACTGCTAAGAGAACAAACCTCTCTCAGTGAGCAAATACAATACCATTTTCTTGCAACCTGCTGTCTAACCCTGTTGGGCAGGGTATAGCTGTTGCACTATATTAAGAACCTGTGTAAATATTCCAAGGTGTTCTAAAATGATTGTTCTATTCTTGTATTATGCTGCTTGTTGGAAGAATTTGACAAACTGCCTAAAATGTATAGTCCTGATGCAACTGTTATGATTAATTTTTTTATGAAGGGTAAAAGATAGAGGATTTCAGAATTTATCCTCCAGTCATGCTATATAATCTAGCAACTGAAAGGCTGGCTTGAATTTGTGACTTTAAAATACCGTATATACTCGAGTATAAGCTGATTTTCAGCACATTTTTTATGCTGAAAAAGCCCCCCTCGGCTTATACTCTAGTGGCGGCGGAGGAACGAGAAGCAAAAAGGAGCCCTTTGGGGCTGCTTGTTCTTCCTCCACCGCTGCTGCCACCAGCCCCTGCCTCTCAGCAGCACCCTAGGTAGGCAGGGGGACGGGAGGGGCTGGGGGGAGAGAGAAGCCCCCTCTGCCGTGTGCGCATGTGCACGTGCGCGCATGCACTCTGGCCCACCAGGAGGTTTGTGGTGTGGTGAACCTGCTTATACTCAAGTCAATAAGTTTTCCCAGTTTTTTGTGGTAAAATTAGGTGCCTCGGCTTACGGTATATTCGGGTCGGCTTATCCTCGAGTATATGCAGTATGGTATATTTTAAAATTAAAATTTAAAGCATGAATTATTAGCTGTTTGAGGTTTTTAAAAATGGCTGCTCTTATCAGTATGAGGATTTTTGAGGGCCCCAAGCCAGAGAACTACAGAGCAGCGGAATGAACGCAGCACACATGACTTTCTACCTGTCATCCCCAAACAGGGATTAAATGTGAACTGGGATCCAATTCAAACATAGGTGTTGATCTCAAGGCTGAGCACAAATACCTTCTGCTATTCTCTTCTGTTTCTTGGGAAACAGACGGCTTTGAATCTGGGAATAAGCTTCAGTGGGGCAGACCTCTCAGTCAATGCTTCATGAGTGTAACTTGGTGCTATATAGTCACTCTATCAAAAAGCACAAACTTTGCAACTGTAGCTTTTAAACAACATTTAAATGTATTTTGGCTACAGATTAATCAGTAAGCAGAAGTGCAGTTTAGTGCAGTGTTTTATCTCTTAAACTAAAATACAGTTATTCTCAAAACAGTTTCCTGTATTGAATAATGATCTTCAGAAAATAAGCTACAATCAAGCGAAGCAGTGCTGGTGGGAGAAAGCTCTTTATACGCCACTCTTTCCTGCATCACAGTTTGAAGGTAGCAGCATCTTTTAACTTACTTAAAATGAACTGAACACTTTATATCTGAGCAGAAATAGAAGGTGAATGCAGTTGAGCATGTACCAACTTGTAACCATTAAGTACTGTATGCCAAACATACTTTTGGAGGGGAATTGCCACTCACCTACTTCCCATGCATTCTTATCACTGCAATAGTGTTGTGAGCTTACAAAGTAGTTTCTGGCATATTAGGAATGGTCATCTATATTTAATCTTAGCTACTATCTCACAACCAAAGTGGCGAGTGCCGACAGAAATGAAGCTACAATGAGGCTAATGAAAAACATGAGGGATGTCTGCATGCTAAGGGGAAACTCTGGGATGTTTCAGACAGGGTCTGCAAATTATGGCTGGCTGTGAAGTCCAGTCCCCCCAGGAGAACACAACAGTATTATAAACATTTTATCACCACTGTTTTTTATTAGCACTGTATTGTCTGATTAAAAACTGAAGTTGTATAGCTAAGGTTTTTTGTAGGTTGATGAACACATGCTTTAAAAAAACCCTCTTGACTTCTGAATAGCTGCACTGCTTTTTACAATTTGTTCTCCTTCATACATCAAAGACCGTATATTCGAATGTTTAAAAAATAGTAAAGTGAATGTTATTTCTAGTATAAGCATCAAAATATGGGGAATTTTGGATTTTGGCTTTTTATTTTTTAATATGTACAAATGCCCCAGTATTTCACAGAGTTGTATGGCACCTTAGAGACCAAATTATTTTGTGTCATGACTACCATTTTATGCAGCATACCTGCCTGGGAGTAAGTGCTATGGAATGTAATCGTGCTTGACTTCCTTCTACATGCAAGACATACTGAGCTTTAACTAACAATCGTGCTTCAGTCAGCTGAAATGCAACTTTTAGCTTTTAATTAAAAATGAACAATCTTACAAAGGAATGTTACCATTTAAACTTGCTTCCTGCTAATCCAAGAAAATGATAGAAATATCTAGCCTCTATTTGATTCATTTCCTCACTTGGGTCTTTTTTGTTCTCTCTGTGCCATTGTAAGCTTTATGGGCCAAAAGAGAAAATTATGCCCATCAGTGGAGCAGTTTAAAGAAGCTCCCACTCCGGCTCATGCAAGCCGAGGGGCGGGTGGTTTAAGAAAGCCCGCTTCTCAGCTGATCAAGCCCCCTGCCTCCAGCTTGAGTGTCCCTCAGCGGGGGCTTCATTAAACTGCTCCACTGAGGTGCGGCAGACGCACACCCTTCAGCGGAGCAATATAAAGAAGCCTCCTTCCTATGCAGTCCCTCTGGGATATGAGGGCCAGAGCTCGATGGCAGTTTTACCCAGTGTTTATTGCAGGTGAAGCAGCCATTGCTCTCTGGCCCTCATACCGGTCCTAGCCCATGTATTGATACAACGCTCAGGCCTAGTGTACACCACAACCACTCACACATCACAACCACATAAGTGCCCTCACAATTAAGATTAGGAAAAGCATTTTAGCTCTTTCCAAACCTGATTTGGGAGGTAGGAGTGATCCTCCTGAAGAGTGATTAATTTTTCCTCCCCATCTGCAATCTTGAGGAAGATCTCCCCCGTGCGCACACACCAATTAGGCTTGGGGGAAAACCTTCTCTTGAAGCCAAGTTTTCACCCTAATTGGGGTGCTACAACTGGGGACCATAAAACCATTGTTAAGACTTCTGTCGAACAAGCAGGCCGAGGGATGGGGGGAATGACTGAAGAGGAATGGAGCCGAGTTGGAATCCTTTGCTCACATAGGACTTGATCTTGCCCCTGGTGTTAGACCTATGAAAAAGGTGTTAACAAGAATTCAAACACTTTCTTAGTGGAGCACTTCAGATGGCTGCCACCTCTGTCTTTCCCAAATCTCAGAATAAGATTCCAGTTTGGCAGCCAATCGCAACACATCACCAGGAGTATATAAGCTTTGGCAAGGGAACATCACTCATACATCATGCTAGGACTCTCTCTGTCCAGAAAAACATGACCATACAAGTATGAACTTGATAAAAAGGTGCTTTGTGCAAACAAAAAACCACCAAGGAAGATAGGAAGGGTAGATGGATAACTCTTGTGCTCTCAGACCCTTTACAGGTACTCTGCTTCCGAACTCCTGACACACACATGCACCAGGAATCCCAAATCCACTGCAGCAACTGGAAGCTGAAGGACAAGCCACCCTACATAGGTAATCTGGGTGGGTGGTGGGTAACCAGGGATGTGGTGGTCCATTCCTCAAACTACGACTCCTGAGCATCCCCCATCTGTTCCTTATAAGCATCCCAAAATGTGCAGAGTACGTGCATCCATGGCCAGAAGGTTTTCCTCTCCTACCCTAGAACAGAGTTTTTCAACCTTTTAGGTCCATGGTTCCCTTGACCAACTACATTATTTCTGCAGCACCCTGTGAGACTCAGAAGCCCAGTTATGTCACTCCTTGACTGCAGAGCTGGCAGCCCCTCACCCACTTTCGAACACCCTCCCTTGTGGAGTGTTCCCTCAGCCTCCTCTTCTCCCCTCTCCTTGGGAGTCCTCTGGGCAGCCCAGTTGATCCCCCTGCCCAAAGGAGAGGGGCCTTCTCACACTGTCCCACAGGGGCCTGGGAAGCACCCCCTGGCCAGCCCCAGAGGCACCATTCACCTGGGGAGTTTGTAGCCAGAGCTGTTGCAACAAACAGCTGTAGAAGCCTTTGGGAGGCAGAGATATGAGAGGGCACCAGAGGAGGGAGGGGCAGAGGCCAGTGTTGCCCATGGCACCCCTGACCATCATTCAAGGTACCCCAGGGTGCTATAGCACAGTGGTTGAAAACCACTGCCCTAGACAGAATGTCTAATCTGGATAAAAGATTGGATAACACTGGAAAGAACAGACATTTTAGACCTTGAGAGTCATTGTAACAGATTTGGATGGCATGCCTTTCTCGGTTATAATAAAGCTAAAGTGCATAGCGGATTTACTAGTTACATTCTCAGAAATGCTCTATTTAAAGTCTGGACCAGATATCAACCTCTTATTGGAGCCACAAACTCCATGGTGGCTATCACCGTTGGAAGCACATGCTGTTAAAAAATTGAACATGCAGAGACATTGGGCCTCATATAGGCAGTTAATAACAGAAGACCAAGGCCAATTAAAGTTAAAACCAGACCGGGAGATAAGGCAACATTTATCTGACTGGCTCCAATACCATCAGCTGAATAGCGTTTTCCAATCAGATATTAAAAGAGATTTTGGCAAAGAAGATTCAAAATTCCAATTGATAGTATTAAAAAAAACACACGAAACCTTTATCCAAAATGTATGATTTCCTATTGGAGTGAGACATGAAGGATGAACAAGTAAAGGAGGCTCAGATAAAATGGGCCCAAGACATTGGCAGGACTATCTATTTAGAACAGGGGGAGAGGCTATGGCAAGTGGATATTAATTTCACAGCCTGCTACTGTATCAAAGAAAACTTTATTAAAATGTTCTTTAAACATTTAAGTTCTTTAAACACCAGCCAAGGTCACAAAAATTTACAAATTAAAATCTATTTTATGTTGGAAAGGCGGAAAGTCTGCTGGAGATGTGAAAAGATTAAAACCTTCTGGCGCATAATACATGATGAGTTAAAAAAAAATGCTCAGGATCTCTATAGGAAAAAAACCTGAGGCATAATAGGGAGTGATATCCCACAGAATAAGAAAATAATTTTTTTATATGCCACAGTAGCCGCCAGAATAGTTCTAGCCAGCAAATGGAAAGACAAGACAGTATCCTCTAAAGAAGAATGGATTTATAAACTAAGTGAATACATAGAGTTGGCAAAATTAACAGCAATTATAAGATCTCAAACAAATCAAAATTTAAAATCAGAATGGAAATGCTTTGAAGAATACATGGAAAAATGCTGCTCTGAAAAGAATATGTTAATATGCATAGATTAAACGTGTAAAGTGGATGTGTGAATATAAATATATGGTATAGCAAGTATAGATTACGTATGTAAGTATGTAAAGTAAAGGTGAAAATAAAATCAGAAAGGGTTGTAAGAGATAAAGATGAAGATTTTTAGAAGAAAGTTGATCCGTGATGGAGGGAGGTCACAGGGATGGGTAAGGTGTCTTGCTTTAGTTTGTATAGGTAGCATATGTGTTTCTATGTGTATTTGTGGTATCTGTACGTCTTTGTTCATATATATTTTTCCCCTCAAAAAAATATCAAAAAGAAAACCACTGCCCTAGAATATAGGAAGAGTCTAAACTGACTGGAGAATCTTCCCTTACCTAATAGGTTATAAGACTGTCCAAATCCCAGTGAGCTCTCATCATGCGCTGGAAAAAGCAAATAGTTATAATTATTATTTATACTCCACCCATCTGGCTGGGTTTCCCCAGCCACTCTGGGTGGCTTCCAGCACATATAGAAACATAATAAAATGTCAAACATTTAAAACTTCCCGATACAGGGCTGCCTTCAGGTATCTTCTAAAAGTTGTGTAGTTCTTTATCTCCTTGACCACTGATGGGAGGGCATTCCACAGGGATGGTGCCACTGCTGAGAAGGCCCTCTGCCTGGTTCCCTGTAACTTGGCTTCTCGCAGTGAGGGAACCGCCAGAAGGCCCTCGGCACTGGACCTCAGTGTCCAGGCAGAATGATGGGGGTGGAGAAACTCCTTCAGGTATACTGGACTGAAGCCATTTAGGGCTTTAAAGGGTCAGCACCAACACTTTGAATTGTGCTCGGAAACATACTGGGAGCCAGTGTAGGTCTTTCAAGACCGGTGTTATATGGTCTCGGCTGCCGCTCCCAGTCACCAGTCTAGCTGCCGCATTCTGGATTAGTTGTAGTTTCTGAGTCACCTTCAAAGATAGCCCCACATAGAACTCATTGCAGTAGTCCAAGCGAGAGATAACCAGAGAATGCATCACTCTGGCGAGACAGTCCGCGGGTGAGTAGTGTCTCAGCCGGCATGTCGGATGGAGCTGGTAGACAGCTGCACTGGACACAGAATTAACCTGTTCTTCCATGGACAGCTGTGAGTCCAGAATGACTCCCAGGCTGCACACCTGGTCCACACCCACCTGCCCCACAAAGGGAAGTGCAACCAACTTCAATAAAAGCCAAGCAATCCCCTCCACCTTTTCTTAATGCTAGCAGAACTTGTAATGTGTTCTCCCTTGCAGGATCAGAACCAGGTTACATTGAAGCAGAACAGTCGCAGGAGAGAGACACTCTACATTTGATGAGTAAGTACTTTGCCCAGAACAATGTTATATCCAATGGGTCTTTCCAAATACTGACGCCAGCAGAGTTAAGAGGTGAGAGCATTCTTGTTTGAAGAAAAAGGACATAGGCAGTGGCATCTAGAATAAAAAGACTATTAAGTGTTGGCACCGTTTTTCATTTACTCGTTACCCTGGGTCACAGCTAACGTCTTGTAACACCTTGCCTATGTTTCTCTTGTCTCCTCAGGCAATCCAGCAACCATCCTGAATACACAGAAGCAAGAATGCTCTTCGCAGATCATGACATGCAGACCACAAGGGATGTCTACAGCTTCAGCAACCGCCAGTGAGAAAGCAGCTTTTTTCTCTAGAGTTTGCTACCATTTTGTTCCTACAGGGTTTTGTGCCTTTGAAAGCTGAATGACAGGCAGTGTGGCAAACAGGTGCAGCTGCACTCGGGGAAGTCTGCACCAGTGAACCCCTCTGGCTGTTAACAATGTTTTCGAAGGCAGAGGACTCCTGTGGAAATAAAAATATGGCAACCCCTGCTCTGTGGTACTGTCAGGCCTCACTCCACAACTGATATTGTTCAACAAAATCTGTGACTGAATTGCTTTTCTTATGGTGGCTAAGCAGTTAGGGAAGCCTTTCCCCTTATTGGTCACCTCAGATGTCTTTAGAGGACATACAATGGAAGGGATTATCCACAACAGCCCACCTGGGTTGAATGTCTGTATCTTGCCTATGTTTGTGCCTTCTGTGTGTCATTAATTGGTGGACATCATGAGCACTGGCATAGCAGGATCATAAAACTGGCCTGCACAAGAAGCCAGAAGAACTGATACTACACTGTAAGATACAGTGGACCCTCTGGATACGAATTAAATTAGTTCTGGGGGTCCATCCGCAACCCGAAAAGTTTGTAGGCAGAGGTGCTGCTTCTGTGCATGCGCGTTGTGCAATTGAGTGCTTCTGCACATGGCGAAACCTGGAAGTATACACATCCGGGTTCACCACGTTCGTAACCCAAAAGTTATGTATCCAGAGTGGTATGTAACTATAGGGTCCACTGTATTAAAATAAGATGTAAGAAATAAAACATTTTAAAACCATGGTTCTGTTTAGTCACTTGACCAATTGAACTGATGAGAGATCCCTCTGTTTCCTTCACTAGCCTCTGTTGCAGTTCTGCTTGTCTTTTGACATCTTAATTGACCAAACTGGATACTTTTGTTTAACACATAATAAAGACACTATGCCACTGAAAGGTAACTTTAACAAAAACAAAAAACCTTTTGTAATGGAATTCTGTTTTTCTCTCTCCCCCTTATCTAAAATACAACTTTGGAAGAATGCTGTACAAATGTCAAGAGAGAGAACAGTATTGGAGAATTTGCAGATGTGGAAGAAATATCGCAGTGTGAAGAACATCTTCTAGATTTTAATATGGTAAGCTTAGCAAATATTTTGCAATAGCCAGCGCAACTGGAAATCAGTTCTAAGTCACATGCGGAACCCCAGTGAGTAGAGGAGATTCCCCATTTCAGAGGTTTGCCTCTCAGTTTGTGGAGAGGGGCAGGGAGAAATAAGGCTTGCAGAAGTCTTCATATGAGTAGAGTGCCTGAAGAGGGCAGGCACTGGAGGTTGCAGAGGAGCAGTTGCTGACTTTCCTTTTCAGACAGCTTTTCACATCATGCTGAATCCTCTTATAGATGTGATGGGCCCCAGAGGGTGCATTGAGAAGTGGGGAGAATGAAAGTCCCTATTGTGTGCATGTAACTCTCTTTGGAGCTCAGTCAAAATGTGTAATCATAGTGCAGTAACACTGAGATTTAGCTTTTCTGTATATAGGATTACCATACAGTGGTACCTTGGTTCTCAAACGTAATCCGTTCCAGAAGTCCGTTTGACTTCCGAAACATTCGAAAACCAAGGCGCAGCTTCTGATTGGCGCAGGCACCCCAGAAACAATAGCCGACAACCACATCAGATGTTTGGCTTCCAAAAGTGGAACACACACTTCTGGGTTTTTGGCTTTCAGGAGCCGAAATGTTTGAGTACCAAGGCGTTCTAGAACCAAGGTTCCACTCTACAATGTTTGAATGTTTATTTAGTAGGGGAAATTTTATATTCTCTTTTGCAAAGCTGTATTCTACATTTTAATTTCTTAAATCTATAGGTTTCTTCTGTACATGAAGCAAGGTGTGCAGATCCCAGAAGTTCTGAAACAAAATCAAATGGCATTAGGAAAAAGCTATACTCCAGTGACAGCCCCAGCTCTGAAGGCACAGCATCAGAAGGTGGAAATGGATGGGCAGATCCTTGTGAAGAGCTTTTCTCTCGAACTCAGCTATAAAAACTGCAGAGTAAAAAAAGTATGGTTTAAGAATAGCATGAGATGGAAAACTCTTCCTGAAGGTCTGTGACTCAGCAATGAATTGATTTTCCCTTTGGGTTAATGGATTCAGAAGTGTATTTATCTTTCTCTTCTTGATATTTTATTTTCAATAGTTGGGAACATTGTCTCATTGAAGGCTTTTTTTCTCTCCCTCCAAACTGTTAGTTCCTTAGCCATTTGGACCTAGATTAGATTGTGTTGTCAAATCAAGAATGGATGTGCATGTGATTTGTCATGGTAGTATCACTGCTCTTTTGCATCTTAGCTGCAGTTATTTTTATTTTTAACTGTAGCCTTATCAGTATTACTATCTAACTAGCATTGCAGTGTCCACAGCTATTCAGATATTTTATCTTTTGGCTTTTAAGATTTGGGAGATAAATACTTAACACTGTAATCTATCAGTGCCTTTCTGAATGTGAGAGGACAACATGTGTGGCTTGTCCAGTCTTTAAGATCTTCTAACTTTGGAGTAGGAAAACTAGGGCTGTGCTTTAGAGACTTTCAGAAACTGTGTTTTCTATTCTAGGATCTCTCCTCTTAACTCGCATATAAACTAACACAGTTGAAACTATTGTTTGTTCTTGCTAACTGAAGAAGCCAAGGATTTTTTCAGGCCTGGGAAAGAAACACTATTCCCCCCCCCTTCTTCCTTCCCCCTCATTTCTTCTCTGTTCATCTCTTTCAGGGCTCAGTACTGTAAAGTAGATGATTAAAAACAAAATGACACTATGTCCTGATTCCCAAGCACACTTACTTCAATGGTACTTAGGTGTAAGTGTAGTTTGGGTTGCACTGTTAAACCCAATGGATAAATTTAATGGATGATGAGCTTTTTCACAAGCTGCAAAGATTTTGCTTGAATAACTAAAATAATCTTGGAATTCAGTGTTTGGTAATTTATAGGCGAAGGATTAGTGTGTCACTCAAAACAAATCCTGTGGCTCCTGCAGTTGGCTACTATTGTGGTTCTAATTTAGTAAATCTTGTAGCGATCTTTGTGTCCTGAGAGAATGTTAGGAGTAAGTTGTGTGTTGTGGGTGGGAGTGGGGAACGTGATGACGACTTACATGTGTGATTGCAGTAGTGATTGTTGCTTTATGTGACCTGCTCTTAAAGTTTATTTTAACATAGTCAATGCATCTGTCAAGTTGTAACTGTGGAAGACTATCAACTCCTTGTGCTACTAACGTATTATGCAAATCATAAGAGCCAGGAGGAGCAATATTGGTTTGTACCATTTCATAGTTTTTAAAAAAGATCTATACAATAGCAGCATGTTTAAGACATCAGAAAGTGCAGAAAGTTTACTATTGACTTGAAAATGCTAAGCCATTAATTTTGATAGGCGAGAAACTCCTAACAATTATAGTTGTTTCAAATATTAAGCTGAACTGGCTTTGAAATTTTTATTCTGTGCTAGTGAGCTGAACTAAATTTGAGTTTTGTTGCCTTTTCTTAATTGATAGTACATGACTTAAGATCTAGGGTATCAACACCTTGTAAGATTGCATGTCTCCTTTCTGTTGAAACTTTTACTCCATTGGCTTGGTTTGTACTTTCCAGGGAAATGTTATTAATAACTGCTTTTAAGCTACATTATTTTAGCATTCATACAACAAATCTTTAGAGTGTTTGGGTTTTTTTCTTATTTGAGATTCGGGATAAGTTTTTATATATTTACTTTCTTCTGGAGCTTCCTTAAAAAAGTTGTATAGCACATGCACTGAGAATATTGTCTGTCAACATGAAAGCAAAAAGAGCGAAACTGATAAATCATAATGATTAACTTAACTAGTAAGTCATTATTACAATAGGAAATGACCAAATGGAAATATTGCAGTGGGCGAGAAGAACCCACACTTTTTAAAACTCAGCTTATTTAGGTAGATCTCAGTGAAAGGGTTGTTGGTTACATTATGATTTAATATTTTAACACCTTTGAAAATGTACATGTTTCATGTGTGGGCAATAACAAATAATATTTATTTGTTCCATAATTGAATGGAGAAAATTCTGAAGCTTTCCAGGGAGGAGGTTGACGTGTGAGTTTGTGTTTTGTTTTTTTGCAAGGATAATTTAAAAGTGGAGATGCTGAAATGCAGTGTGGTCGGAGGCGCATTGCATATCCATAGCACTGAAGGATCAGTTTTTCATTCCTGGGCTGAATTTGTTTCTACTTTTTTGCTTCAAGTGGTTGTATTGTTCTGATTTCACATACACCAGAGTAACTGAATTTGTTTTTTGTGGAGTTACTTAACACCAAATAAAAAGATAAAAGGACAGCTTTGTTGGTTTGTCTGTTGTTAATGTACAAAATTCCCACTCGCTATGAGAAGCAAGGCTACATAGGTTGAGAGCTCCTGGGCTTGTCTGTGGTGGGACATATCCCTGTGTTGGATTAAAGGGTCAGCCTGCAGCAATTTTCTTGAAGGTGAGACACAGGATGCAGGCATGACCCTCCCAAAGAGAGAACTCTTAACAGCCTATGTTGAAACAAAGTCTTTGGACAGGGGAGGCAACCTAAGGCCCAGGGGCTGGATGCGGCCCAATTGCCTTCTAAATCCGGCCCACGGATGGTCCAGGAATCAGCGTGTTTTTACATGAGTAGAATGTGTGCTTTCATTTAAAATGCATCTCTGCGTTATTTGTGGGGCATAGGAATTGGTTCATTTCCCTCCGCCAAAATATTGTCCGGCCCACCACATGGTCTGAGGGACAGTGGACTGGCTCATGGCTGAAAAAGGTTGCTGGCCCCTGTCTTAGGATAACCTAGACACAGAGCTGAATACAGCACTCAAAAATAGTGCCTGCTTCTCTTCCCAAAATGCCCAGGCCAACAGAGGAACAAGACCTTTAAGTATACAGTGGTACCTCACGTTAAGAACTTAATTCGTTCCTGAGGTCTGTTCTTAACCTGAAACTGTTCTTAACCTGATTAGCTAATGTGGCCTCCCGCTGCTGCCGTGCCGCTGCTGCGCAAATTCTGTTCTCATACTGAAGCAAAGTTCTTAACCTGAGGTACTATTTCTGGGTTAGTGGAGTCTGTAACCTGAAGCATCTGTAACCCGAGGTACCACTGTACAATAATTTACGTAATTGTAATCGAATTTACTAAGGAATTCTAACAGCTTACCAAGAAGTCAACAGCCAAATGGGACAAAAATCTCTGAAACCTTTTGAGTAGGGGTGGCCTCTATCTGGTTTTCAACATTGCAGTGTATCACTAAGCTATATCACAAGTATATCACAATAGCTGAAATAAGGATGGAGCTATGTAGAGGCATTGGCTGGTTTTACGGTTTTTCCCACATGGTGATTTCGACCCACATACCATGAGTCACGATATATCGCCAGGTCAAAAATTATGAAAAGGATATCACGATATGGACTTCAAACCAGTTTTGGATCATATATTGCCTATCCTTACTTTTAAGGGCTAGTGTGGTGTAGTGGTTAGAAGCGGTGGACTTGTAATCTGGTGAACCAGGTTCGCTTCCCTGCTCCTCCACCTGCAGCTGCTGGGTGACCTTGGGCCAGTCACACTTCTTCGAAGTCCCTCAACCCCACTCACCTCACAGAGTGTTTGTTGTGGGGGAGGAAGGGAAAGGAGATTGTTAGCCGCTTTGAGACTCCTTTGGGTAGTGATAAAGTGGGATATCAAATCCAAACTCTCCAAACTCCTCTTAAGTAGCAAATAGTTACTTGAAACACTAAAATAGAAAAGATATTGGGACAGTCTGTAGCATAAATATTATTAGATTAAAGCCTTGAAATGGTAGTGGGAATTGTTGACATAGCATGTGCACAGGGTTGTTCCCGAGTCACAAGATAAAACACCTGTTCAAGACGTGGTGATCAATTTTGCATGTTACGTGTAGTGTGGCACCTGTGAAGCATACATGAACTGACAATGGTCAACCAGTGCTTGTTTTGCAAAACCTGTCACCTGAAACCCTGAAGCATCATCAAGAACTGAAACTAGTGGCCATCAAACTGGCGGGAAAATAAATCATTTACACCCCTTTAAACTGATGATCCAAAAAAGTGGCACACTGCATCAAATTTAAAGGAGCTACCTGAAAGTTGTAAGATGATCAACAAAGAAGATCAGGAGGAAGAACAAGAGTACCAGGAGGAAGAATGGTTGCCGCACTGTGGACCCAGAGGTCACCAAACATTTTGGACCAGTGGACACATTTTAAATTTTGAGAGTGCTCTGGGCACCACTCACAAAATGGCTGCCATGGGGCATGGGTGGTAGGCAGGAAATATTTGGGAATGCCTTGGTGGCTGAAATGAGGCAGAAATTACAGCCTCCAAGACTTAAAAGGAGACTCTGAGGAAGGTGAGCAGGATTTTAAATCTGATTTAACTGATAGCCTCCTTCCAGTGAAATTTAAATATGCCAAAGTTAAGAAAAAGAATGGGAAACACTTATTGTATATGTGTAAAATAATGTAAATAAATTGATACATTGGCAGGCTTATACAGCACACTTGCAATCAGCAAAAAGTTGGATAACACTACAAGAAGAATTGATGAAGTATGTGTACGGAAATGCAGAAGGAGGAACCATAAGAGGGAATGGAGGGAAGTCATGAGGTCTAAAGAACCTCAAAGATAAGGTTTTGAAAAGTTTTTGTGAATGGGGATGGGGGTTGTTTTTTGTAAATTATGGGAATTGTGGAAAAACCAAAAAAAATTATTTACATAAAAAAACTAAAAAGATGATTTCCCCTTCACTTCTCATTTTCCTCTGTAGCCCCCTAGTCTCGTTCTGTCCCCCCCCCCATTTATGTGGTTATCACCTTGGGGTCCCTTGAAATATCCTGGGGGGCACAATGGGACCACGTGGCCCCCGATTGGGAAACACTGATTTACTTGGTCACTAAGAACCCTCTGCATTCTGAGTGTAATCGCTCAACATCTTTCAGGCACGACACACACAACCCTCAGAAACCTTACACACCTGAGCAATAGGCCCAGCATCTATGAAGCTCTCTACCCACACCAAGATAGATTTTTCTAAAGACTTTTTAAAAAGTTTTTTTAACCAAGCATCTGGCTCTCCCTTCCATGCACTTGAACTGCTGTGTACCAAGGCAGGCACTGGATGACTTGCTGCTAATAGCATTATCAATGTTTTTATCCTATTCTTTAGCCAAGACAGACTCCTACAGCAACTTACAAATAAATATTGACCTCTTAATGTTACACAAAATAATTTATTGCTATGTAAATTTGTGTAGGATTGCTGCTGAAGGACAGCCATTTCGTGGTGGCACACCAACACTTCATCAAAATCCCAAGCCCACCCATGTGTCCAAAGATAAGGAACCCTTGCAAAATCCCACCAGTGGGCCTTTTCCCCCTTTGGTCCTGTACCCACTGCAAAGCTTTGTTACCCACCACACTGCGTGGTGTATATGTGCAGAAGGCAGCAGTTGGCCCAGAAAGAGGATGTGGAGAATCTAAAGAGTTGATTGAAAATACCGTATTTTTCGCTCTATAAGACGCACCAGACCACAAGACGCACCTAGTTTTTGGAGGAGGAAAACAAGAAAAAAAATATTCTGAATCTCAGAAGCCAGAACAGCAAGAGGGATCGCTGCGCAGTGAAAGCAGCAATCCCTCTTGCTGTTCTGGCTTCTGGGATAGCTGCGCAGCCTGCATTCGCTCCATAAGACGCACACACATTTCCCCTTACTTTTTAGGAGGGAAAAAGTCTTATAGAGCAAAAAATACGGTATGTTCACATCAAGGCACTGATAGTTTCAAGTTGTTACTTTTTGAAAGTAATTAAGTACAACTATCAGTTGGTGAAAACTTTTAACTGACAGTTGGAAGCCAGTTGGACAAATTGATTTGGTTTTAAAGCACTGTTATCTTCTGGAAATAGGAACAATATCTGGAACAAAGATTCTAAGGACAAACAACTAATTGCTATTTAATGTAATATTTTATAGTGCACACTCTACTTTGCTCTTTTTGACATTTAAAATAAAGTTTAGAGTGGTAGAAAAGATGTCACCCCTCTGATTTTCTTCTTTACCCCTTTGCAAGTAAGGGAGATTGCAGCATGATGGCGTTTCAGTACCTCCAGCCTTTCATTCAGCATTTCAGCAGCAGTTACCTTATCTTCAAAGTCCCTTAACAGCAGTGTATTCCCAAGTAAGCCGCACTTCTGGTAAAGCCTCTGATTGTCCATTCGCAATTTGTCCCTAGCCTGTTTAGTCTTTGTTAGAATCTCTCTCCTTTGGGCCACTAAAGCCTCAACTGCCATTAGTTGAGACCTTTGGCCATGATTCTCTGCTTCCACAAACTGCAGTTTTTCCTTCACTTGAGTAAGAACTTGCACTGTGTTGGTTATCTTTTTCCGGAGCTTCATAAGCTCCTCATTGCGCTCTTCAATCTTTTCATTGTAGGTTTGGTTCTCTATTTTCAGTTGCTCAAAATCTATTAAGTGCAGACCTTCTGCTAACTCTTCCATGGCTTTTAAACTTGCATCAAGCTTTTGGATCCTGTGTTTCAGCTTTATATTTTCCAGTCGAACCTAGCATGATAAAAACTGAAGTGAGTCTATAGATATCCTACCCAAGGGTGGTATTCAACTAAACAGTTGTGCAAATGCAAGGATCACCTCTACCACACGACTTCCCCCACACCTGTCTCCTCCACATACAGCTCTCATTTTCCCCAAATCTGTTCCAGGGAATTTAAGGAAACCCCAGAGCAGGTAGGAGAGGCATGGTGGAAAGTTAAAATGTTAAAAATGGAAATTACAACATGCACAAATATACATTTCCTACAAAAAGAGACAAAACCCTTGCTGGGATGGAACCATAGACTTAGTGCTACTTAGAGTACAACCCAAAGAATTTAACTCAAAGCAGATTTGAAGAACTCGAGGAATGGAATAGAAGCAGCCACAACTCCCCTATTGACTGTATGTGGAACAGTTGACTTGGGATGAAACTCTTCCAGGTGAGAAACTATTATGGGAGGTGATTGGGGTTGGAATAGGAACTGTCGGGAGCTTATGTGAACTCTGGATCCGTCTTTACCTGCCGTAACACCTATGAATAAACCTCAATAAAATTGACTTTTAAAATAGTTCAGACTACAAGATGCTCAGGAAGTTGCCTCTTACTTTTTTTATCACCATAAGTTTCTATCTATAATAAGCCTAAGCACACGTGATGAAAATAACTACATAGGCTTTCCTTGTTTACCCGTGGCCCTATTATTGACTACAATGGTACCTCGGTTTACGAACTTAATCTCTTCATGAAGTCCGTTCTTAAACCAAATCCATTCTTAAACCGAGGCGCGCTTTCCCTAATGAGGCCTCCTGCCGCCGGTGCCCTGCTACCGTTCGGCTTCTGTTTGTAGACCGAGGTAAAGTTTGCAAACCGGAACACTACTTCTGGTTTTGCGGAGTTTGTAAACCAAATAGTTCATTAAAGGGCTGTTCATAAACCGAGGTACCACTGTACTATTACTATCAGGGTTTACAACTTGGTTTTGGTATCGTTGCTCTAACATGGGTAGCCAATGTTGTGCTGTCCACATGTTGATGGACTATGACTCCCATCAGCCCAAACCGTTGGTTATGCTGTCTGAGGCTGCTCAGAGGACACCATATTGCCTTATCCCTCCTCCACTGGAACAGGAATGCAGAAGCAGTTTTAAAGCATGGAAGGGGAGGCAAATATTAACAGTGCATCACAACTGAAATAATAAACTGCCTAAGCTGATAAGAGCGTAACTTCCAGGGGAGAATTAACTAGCTGCACCACAGTCTCCTGCCAGTGAGGTGGCTGGAGGGGGTCGATGAGTTTGGGTTTTTTCGTTGATGGGCGAGGGGGAGAAGCAAGTCTAATCCATCGCTGGCCTGTCTGGGCAGGCTTCTCCGGGCAGGTCTCACCTCCGTCATCTCCCTTTCCTTGCTCTGCTCCCTGGCCTGGATCTGGCCCACTCTGTCGATGGCGGCTTGCTTGCTCCCCAGCCGGCGCCCCACGGTGTAGACGGCCACCTCCATCTTGAGCGCCTGGTGGGCCTTCCAGGCGCTCTCGACCTTGGCCAGCTTGTGGCTGCAGGAGAGGCGGGCGTCGTCGATCTGCTTCTGGAACCAGGCGGCCTCGTCGGCCTGCTGGGTGCGCAGCTCCTCCAGCATGGCCAGGTAGCGGCTGTAGCGCTGCTCCTTGTCGGAGATGTGCTGCTCCAGCTCCTGCCGGACGCGCTCCTTGCTCTTGGCCTTGTTCAGCAGCTCGCTCAGCTTGCTCTGCAGCTTGGCGTTGTAGTGCTGCAGGCGCGCCCGCTCCAGCAGCAGCTGCCGGTACTGCTCGGCCAGCTCCTGCCGCCGGAGCTGCTCCTCGGCCTGCCGCTGCTCGCGCTGCTCCTCCGTCTCCGCGGCCGCCGCCTCCTCGGCCTCCGAGCTGCCGGCGCTGCTGCCCACCTCCAGCGACAGCGCGCTGGGGCGCCCCAGCTCCAGGTCCCGCAGGCTCAGGCTGATGCGGCGCCCCAGATCCACGCCCGTCTGCAGCGGAGGCGGCTCCAGCAGCCCTCCCGCCGCGAAGGAGGCCTCGCTGGGCAGCGCCACCGACACGGAGGGCGCCTCCTGGATCTCCGGGACGGGGGCGCCGTCAGGCGGGGCCCCTTCCTCCTCCGCCGCCATCGCCGCCGCCTCCCCCTCGCCGCCCTCCTTCTCCTTCTCCTTCTCCTCCTCCTCCAGCGCCCCTTCGACGGAGCTCTGCTGCTCCGGCCCCGCCGCCTCGCTGGCTTCCCCCGGGCCGGGCGCCTCTTCGGAGACCGGCTCCTGCGGCTCTCCTTCGCCCGCCGCCTCCGCCGCCGCCTCCTCCTCAGCGCCCGGCTCCTCCGCCCCCGGCGCGGCCCCGGCCCCGTCCGCCGGCGCAGGCTCCTCGGGGCCCGAGGCGGGCGCTTCCTCCGGGACCTCGGCCTCCCCCGGGGGCGCCTCCGCGGGTTCAGGGGGCGCCTCCGGCGGGGGAAGCGGGGCTTCGGCAGCCCCGTCCCCGCCCGCCGCCTCCATCTTCTCCGGCTCCTCCATGGCTTCTCCGGCTCCGCGCAGCGGCGTCTCCGCGTCTCCACAGTAACCGCTCTGTGGGCGGGCACGGCGGTTGCCAGGGGAAACGCGGACAGAGCTTCGAAACTCGATTGGCCACGCTAGCCTTGGGCCACGCCCACGGGCCTCTCGGAGCTGCTGATAGGCGAAGGGGAGAGCCGCTCAACCGGCGGCGCGAGAGGAAGCGCGACGCCGAGCCTCGAAGCTCGATTGGCCGCGCCGGCCTCGGGCGCCGATAGGCGGAGGGGGCGAGGCGGGGGCGGGGCCTGCGCAGCCTCTTCCCCGGCGCAGTCTCTCCACGTCAGCTGTGCGCCGGTCTCGCTCCCCCCTTTTTGTTTTCCCGAGGGCGGGGGGAACCAAGATGGCGGAGCTGGGCAAGAAGTACTGCGTGTATTGCCTGGCCGAAGTGAGCTCCCTGCGCTTCCGCTGCACCGAGTGCGCCGACATCGAGCTGTGCGCGGAGTGCTTCTCGGCGGGCGCGGAGATCGGGCCTCACCGGCGCTGGCACGGCTACCAGCTGGTGGACGGCGGGCGCTTCACGCTCTGGGGCGCCGAGGCCGAGGGCGGCTGGAGCAGCCGCGAAGAGCAGCTCCTGCTGGACGCCATCGAGCAGTTCGGCTTCGGCAACTGGGTGAGGGAGAGGGGCTCCCGCCTCGGGCTCCGGCCCTCCCCGCACAGCGCGGGAGGGGCTCTTCTCGCGTTCCCTGGGCGCCCCCCCCCCCGGCCTCATTCGCGTCCCGGGCCATTTACCCTTTTGCGATGCTTTCTGGACGAACTGTGGCCAAGAATTTAAAAATTTCCAAAGATGGGTTAAATATCATTAGAAAATGCCATTACTTGTCAGCTGATTAGGACTTCATCTGTCACTATGCTATGACTGGTGGGCTGAGTAATTTTCAGCCATCTCTAGAGGGTCCTGGCGGCAGTTTGAGAACCCAAGAAAAAAGGCACCATTGGATACATTTAATACTGTTCTTTTAGAGAGCTTCAGTTTAACGTGCATGTATCAAGATGTGAATTTGTGGGGAAAGGAATGGACAGTTAGGGACTACTTGATCTTGGTGTGTGCATATAACAAACTATCATTGCTGTTTGGGGTAAATCCTTGGTATGAACAAGCCCTAGCATTCATTAACACTATTTATAAGTATTATAATGTGAAATATTACTCTCTAGTTTTATGAAGGAATGCCACTGCTCTTATCTAGAAATTGACATTTATTACATACTGTATAGGGATGTGGGTGGCACTGTGGGTTAAACCACAGAGCCTAGGACTTGCCAATCAGAAGGTCGATGGATCGAATCCCCACGACGGGGTGAGCTCCCGTTGCTTGGTCCCTGCTCCTGCCAACCTAGCAGTTCAAAAGCATGTCAAGTGCAAGTAGATAAATCGGTACCGCTCCGGTGGGAAGGTAAACAGAGTTTCTGTGTGCTGCTCTGGTTCGCCAGAAGCGGCTTAGTCATGCTGGCCACATGACCCGGAAGCTGTAAGCCGGCTCCCTCGGCCAATAAAGCGAGATGAGCGCCGCAACCCCAGAGTCAGTCACGACTGGACCTAATGGTCAGGGGTCTCTTTACCTTTACCTTACATACTGTATATGGGGTAATCTTATAATTTTAAAGGTCTTCATATATTTAATTTTAATTTTATTCTAGGAAGATATGGCTGCTCATGTTGGAGCATCACGAACGCCTCAGGAAGTGATGGAACACTATGTAAGCATGTATATACATGGTAACCTTGGGAAGGCCTGCATCCCTGATGTTATTCCCAACAGAGTGACTGATCACACCTGCCCAACTGGTGGCCCACTTTCACCTAGCCTGACCATGCCTCTGCCACCTCTAGATATCTCAGTGGCTGAACAACAGCAGCTGGGATATATGCCACTGCGAGATGATTATGAGATTGAATATGACCAAGATGCAGAGACTCTAATCAGTGGCCTTTCAGTAAACTATGATGATGATGATGTCGAAATAGAATTAAAAAGAGCTCATGTGGACATGTATGTAAGAAAACTGAAGGAGAGACAGAGACGAAAGAACATTGCCCGTGACTACAACTTGGTCCCTGCTTTTTTAGGCAAAGACAGAAGAGATAAAGAAAAACCTTCAAAACGCAAAATCACAAAAGAAGAAAAAGAGCTGCGGTTAAAATTAAGGTCTCTCTATCAGTTTATGTCTTGCAAGGAGTTTGATGATTTCTTTGAAAACTTGCACAAAGAGAAAGTACTTCGAACCAAGATTAGGGAACTACAACGATATCGGCGGAATGGTATAACAAAAATGGAAGAATCTGCAGAATATGAAGCAGCTAGACACAAACGAGAGAAAAGGAAGGAAAATAAAAATATTGCTTCTTCAAAGAGGGGGAAAGAAGATGGTAAAGATGGGGAATTTGCAGCAATTGAAAACTTACCTGGCTTTGAACTGTTATCTGACCGAGAGAAAGTGCTTTGTAGCTCTATTAATCTGAGTCCAGCACGTTACGTGACTGTTAAAACTATTATCATTAAAGATCATCTCCAAAAAAGGCAGGGCATTCCATCAAAAAGTCGCCTTCCTAGTTACCTGGATAAGGTACTAAAGAAAAGGATTTTGAACTTCTTAACTGAAAGTGGTTGGATATCCAGGGATGCCTCTTGAATCTTGTTCTTTCTCCCTTGAAATAGTATGAACTAATAGTCACTTCACTTGCTTATCCTTTTCTTAAAACCTAGGATTCTCTTGTAAAAGCTTAAAATCCTAAACTGAACTGGATTCTTCTGTATTGAATCATGCAAATGCTAGATCGTACTTTGCGACCCAGACAGCTTCCTTGAGAGGAGGAAATTGCTTTTAAAATAATTGTGGGATATGTGACTCACTTATCTTTGACTAGTATAGCAAATGTGGCAGTAGTTACTGAGATCCACCTCTGCTGTAGAAGCTATTTGTGTGGAGAGGGGGAGACCTTCAGCTTCTTACAGACATAGTGCAGAGTGAAGCTGCAGTCCTCTGTACACTTACTTGGGGAGTAAATCTGACTGAATTCAGAGGAACTTGCTGTTGAGTAAACTTGAATAGGATTGGGGTGCATGTGTCTTTTACTAAATCCTGGGTACTAAACTTCAAAAGCACAGAGAAATTAAGATTTTTAGTGAAGATCCTTAGCTATAAGCTATGGTTCATTGCCAAAACAATATATTTTGCTGCAACAGTAGAAGAGCGTAATGAACGCAATTCAAGAGGGCATTAAAGGGTATCTGCTCACTTGCTTGAGTGTACACATGGCAATTTTAAGAGTAGACTGGCTCCACCAGCTAGCTGAATGACTTGTCTTTGGCAAGTAACTGGCATTGTGGTTCTGAATGTAGTGGTTAGCCAGCAGCTCTACATGACACTATTTCTGTGACTAAAGACACAGAGTGAAGAATCTTTGCATGCACAAAGGTTTTCTCTGGATTCATGTAGAAATCTCATACACACACATCCGTTACATGGTGGTAGGCACTACCTGGCTCAGTAGAATCCACTGTCACAATATGTGCTTATGGGAAGTTTGCACCACTTGAAACTATGACAGGTGGGTGGGATCTTAACAGGTTCCTTGGTTTTTCAGTCTTGGGCAAGAAGCAAAAATACTGAGGCTTTCTAAACTGCTGCCTGGATTACAAATTATGCAGGCAGGCCTGATCTAGGCCAAATTGCCTCTTAACGCAGCAGGTAGCATAGTTAGCAAGAGAGTAAGCTTGAAAAGGGTCGTGTCAAATGCAAATGCTCATTTATCAGCTGTTGAGACAAAGTATAACTTTGCTGTTACCACAATCCAGTCTGGCATAGCTCAGTCTGGAGAGCATGAAACTCTTCATTTGCCTCATGTTGGGCAAAAGATTCCTGCACTGCAGGGGGTTGAACTAGATGACCTTCATGGTCCCTCTCAGTTCTCCAATTCTAGGGCAGTTGACTGTGTGCCCAGGGGCCTTGTCCTATATACAAACTTATGAAGTGGGGCTGTGGCTAAAGAACAGCTTCCTGTATGGTGTAGATGGAAAAAGTTTTTTTAAAAGCACTTCTACAAGCTCTCCTGTCCACATCAAAGGCTTCATTGGCTGGTGGTGATAATGCCTAGGGCTAAAGGGATGCTTCTGGCCTGCTGAACTGTCTCTGGGCCTTGAAAACACTGATCTTCATGGGCAGCTCTACCATAAGTAGGTTTCACCACCAGCTTCCTTGATGACTGGGGTTTACTAACACAGTTACAGAATCTTAACTATTCAGGATTACAGATTATTCCTCAAACTCCTGTGAATTCAGAGTTGATATACACCTTACACAAATTTCTGAATTCTCCCACTTTATAAACCACACCAGCAGGTGGATTCAATTTCAAATGTGTCACCTCCCCCTAGTGCAATGAATAACACATCAGAGGGAGGCATAGCACAAACCTGTCACTGATACGTGGCTCCTTACACATCCAGTGGTCAGAAGTGTTCAGAAAGGACATGCCATTTGCCATCTCATTCTACTGCACCTATAGATCCATTTATCTGCTGTTGCATGTGCTGCTGTTTAATCCCTACTCTTTTTCAGCTGTATACATGTGTAGCTCGGCAGCTCTTGCACATTCCACTTTCCGGCCACTAATGGACTAGAAATAGCACAAAGGTCCCTGAGGAAACAATAGTGTTCTTCTTCAGTTTGTGTTCTCTTCTGATTGACAAAGCAAAGATTTTCTCTCATTTTATATGTGACTTTAATTATGATACTTTGTTATTGACAATAAGTCTACTCTGGTCAGAAACTATGCAGTGTTTTATGGTCAATGCACTGTTCCATCCAGGTCAGTCCAATAGGACTGAAGCACAACTAACCCTAAGTGATGACAGACATGTTTTGTTAATCCTGCCCTTCAAAAAACTGGTAAACTTTGTTAACATGAGTGCCACTATCTAAATGTATTCATTTAGCTCTAGCGCCATAACTGTAGTTTCCTGAATGTTAATACATCTGCTAGACAAGGTTGATGTAAGCCTTATATTTCATTGGCAGCCCTTTTAATGTTGCTTAAGAGGAGCAACTGGTGCTAAATATAACTTATTTGATAATCTGAACAATTTTTAAATGTGTTAATATTTATTACACTTCTGCAAAGGTCTTTACAGTGTGGCATTTTCACATGAAAGGAAACATTCATGCAAAGCCTCTTAGCGAAACTATAGTGAATAAATACTTTAATATAACTAATGTTTCATTAAAATTATTTAAGGGTGACTGACATCTAATAGAGAAATATGGGCATGTAAGGAACCACAGTGGCGCTGTGGTCTAAACCACAGAACCTAGGGCTTGCCAATCAGAATGTTGGTGGTTCGAATCCCCGCAACAGGGTGAGCTCCCGTTGTTCGGTCCCAGCTCCTGCCCACCTAGCAGTTTGAAAGCACGTCGAAGTGCAAGTAGATAAATAGGTACCACTCTGGCGGGAAGGTAAACGGCGTTTCCGTGCGCTGCTCTGGTTTGCCAGAAGCGGCTTTGTCATGCTGGCCACATGTCTGCGAACAAACGCCGGCTCCCTCGGCCTATAGAACAAGATGAGCGCGCAACCCCAGTCAGAGTACCTTTAAGGAACACATAATTATTTATTAGCTTTTAACAGTTAAAAGAAACATTGAGTTTTTAATGCTTATTGTGGGTGGAAACCTCAGCTGCAGGGGCCAAATGCAACTCCAGGCCTTCACATTCAGGTCTCAAGACTGCCCAGGCTACACCTCAGCAAAATTATACTACACCCCCTTGTGCTTTTATCTAGATGGAATGTTTTTGAACTTGGAGGGTGCCTCTTGCAAGCCAGAAGAGGTGGATGCTATATCCAGCGAACGTATCCCATTAGCACAAGGACTTCCACCTATCTAATGAGATTTCCTTTCCCCATGGGCTTCCGAATCTGCTGAGGAGAGGAAGGAGTCCTATTGTGCAGACACAAGCCTTTAACTAATGGTACAACTTTGCAGGATAAAATCCCTGACCTTTTCATGGCTTAGAATGCAGCCTATAATACAAAGGCTGTTCTAACCATTTCTACCTTGGACTATACCTACATTTTGGCTCTGGATGTACCTACTATTAGCATGTGCTTCCCTGAATATCACCCACAAGGGAATGTAACCCATGGAAAAAGTGCTCTGACAGAAATAGTTCAGGAAAGACATCAGACATACTTTTCACAGGCATGTGTCAAGTTAACACTCTTAGCCCAGTTCACAATTTGAAGGGGAAGGATGTTAAAATTATCAATTCATTTCTTGCCACTCTCTTTTCTAATTGGATGTAGCATAAAGTATCCGTGCACATGAGAGGCAAATCATTTTTAAGCAATATATACTACTTTGTTGTTGTTTAGTCGTTTTGTCGTGTCTGACTCTTCGTGACCCCATGGACCAGAGCATGCCAGGCACTTCTGTCTTCCACTGCCTCCTACTACACAGGTACTATTACTCTATACTATATATTTCCTTTTCCATACATGATGTTGGCAGGACTCCATAATTTCATTCACCATGGGAAGTGCTGAGCCAGTTTCTAGAGAGCACAATTCCCAGGCTTCTGACCAACGCAGGAGAAATGGTAATCTTCATGCTCCACATAGTTGAGAAGAAGCCTATATTCTGGCTGTGCAGTTGTGACTTGTGGGGAGGAGGGAGGTATGTCTACTTGTTTTTGCACTTGCTAGGAACTCCAAGCAGCTGGAAAAGCTAGAAGTCCATACACATCTCCCTTCCTGTATCATCATTTGGGGCTGTATGTTTTCATGTTTAAAAGTAGAAGCTATGCTCCATTATAGTTGAGGGTGATCTATCACATACTACAGCTAGCCCTAGATGGGCATTCCCATTCATATACAAAGACACATTCAGTCTTTGTGATCATCATAATGTGCAAAAGTTATCATAAAGAACAAGTAGCATATAACAATAGTGAGCAGCTTCAAGAGGGTTTCACAAGTTTCAAGCATGCATTTGTATGTCTGGAGTTCAGAAGAACTTTGGAAACCACAGTTGGCTGTATGAGGAGGATTTTTTGCAGGTGCATCTGGGAGTAGAGTAAGACACGAGTGTCAAGTAAGGACAAATTAAAAGCATGGCAATATCTAAGCTGACATTTAAAAGGCCAGTCAATGCACAAATCTGAGTTCTGTTTTTTTAAAAAACAACAGCTAATTAAGACAAGAGCCCTGCTGAGTCAGACCAAAGGCCCATCTAGTTCAGCACGCTGTTTTCAGAGTGACCAAGCAGGTCATGCACTTTCCTGACTTTGTGGTTCCCAGCAACCGGTATAGAAGCATACCGCATCCAACGATGATCATACACAGCCATCAAGGCTAGTAACAATTGATAACTCCATCCTCCATGGATTTGTCTAGTCCTGTTTTAAAGCCATCCAAGTTGGTGACCATCACTATATCTTGTGGCAGCAAACTGATTCAGCTTCATTAGATGACCCTGGATCTAGAAAGAGGAAGAAAATCCTCTCCTGATCCACTTTCTCTGGGTGATGCACAATCTCACACACCTCTCTCATGCCCTCACCCTTACTTGCCTTTTCTTACTAAAAAGCCTCAGATGTCATAACATTTCCTCAAAGGATGGGCAGTTGATCATTTTGGTTGCCCTTTTCTAGCTCTGCACTGTCCTTTTTTAGGTGAGGCAGTAAGAATTGCACACAGTACTCTAAATGTGGTCACCTCATGAATTATTATATTGGCAGTCCCTTTCCTAAAGATGCCCAAGACTGAATTCATTTCACAGCTGCCACCAAATGAGTTTTCAATGAGCTACCTATTGCAACCCCAAGATCTCTTTCCTAGTTAGTCGCTGCCAGTTCAGACCTCAACCTCATATATGCAAAATTAGGATTTTATTTTTGCCCCATTGTGCATCACTTTAAACTTGCTTACATTTAACTGGATTTGCCATATACCGTAACTGTCTTTCACCTGGTTTCAGAGCTCCTCACAATCTCTTGTTGTTTTAGCCCTCTTGAACAATTCAGTATCATTAGTAAATTTGGCTCCCCCACTGCTCATCCCAACCTCCAGATCACATATGAACAAGTTAAAAAGCAAATGTCTCAACACTGATCTTTGGGGGCGGGGAGACTCCACTTTCTACATTCCTCCACTGGAAGAACTACCCATTGATTCCTAGCATGCTTCCTGTTTCTTAACTAGTTACTGATCCATAAGATAACCTTTCCTATTCCATGACTGCTAAACTTACTCAGGAATCCTTGGTGAGGTACTTTCACAAAAGCTTTTAAAAGTCCGAAGTACACAATGTGAACTAGATCACCTGGTGATTTATTTTTCATTTGTTAATAAGGCTTAAAACGTAAGCATCTTGTAATCATTGTTTTCCTTGGTTTGTCTGCCCTACAGCTCTCTGAAATCCGATGCAAATATTTCATTCAGCTTCTCTGTAGTCTTTTTCTCCTTCAGCACTTTTTACTCTCTTGTTATCCAAAGGTCTAAACACCTCCCTAGCTGGTTTCTTGCTTCTAATGCATTTTTTAAAAACTGTGGTTAGTTTTGCAAGTTTTTAGCAATAGGATTACAGTGGTACCTCAGGTTACATATGCTTCAGGTTACATACGCTTCAGGTTGCAGACTCTGCTAAGCCAGAAATAGTACCTCGGGTTAAGAATTTAGCTTCAGGATGAGAACAGAAATCATGGTCCAGCGGCGCAGCAGCAGCAGGAGGCCCTATTAGCTAAAGTGGTGCTTCAGGTTAAGAACAGTTTCAGGTTAAGAACAGACCTCCAGAACAAATTAAGTACTTAACCCGAGGCACCACTGTATTGAATTCTTTTTTGCATCCCTTATCTGCATGCATTTTTGGGGCCAAAGTTTGTGTTCCTTTTTGGACTAGACGTCCACTTTCTGAAGGAAGCTGCCTTGCTTCTAACAGTTTCCTTGACATCGCTCATTTATTCTACTACATTTCTCTTAGCCTGGATGGTACCTTTCCTGATAAGCAGTATGCATTGTCACACTTGTGACACACTGGATATCCCCCACAACCCTGCTGGCTCTCCACCTGAATATCCATTGCTGTTGTTTACTGAGGTAGTTTACTTGGGAGCTTGGGTTTTGTTAGGTCACTAAGGAGAGTGACAGAGCAATCTGCCATGACCTCTTCACTGTGTCAACCTCACCCTACTGCTTAACTTGCTTTGTTACTGTAGCTTGATGTTTCATCACTAGAGCTCCCTCTCACTTTTGGAGCATGCTCCCTCGTTAGATTGCTCCAAATTTATTGCCCTGGCTAAGCTTCCTCAGCTGTTGATGCAGCCAATTAGGTAAAGTAGACCTTATTTGGAAAAAAGCACAACACAGAAAGAAATGTAGCTCAACTCATGGGCTTAATGAATTCCGGTTAACAGGAAGAGATGAAACTAGATTATCTACAGACTTTCCATCCCTAGGATTTAGCTCCTATTAGTTTAAGGTACGTGAATTAAACAAGTATGTGGTGGTACTTACCCCCTAGTTGCTTCATTGCTTAACTCACTTGTTTCCTTGGTTTGATACTTCAGCACTGGGGGCCTGTCACCGTAAATCACCATCCAGTACTTACTAGTGACATTTTTCCTTTGCAAGTTTATCCACTATCCAAATCAAACTCATTAACTGGAAAACTACTCCCCTCCCCCTTAACAAAACAACTTTAACTTTATGCTGTATAGTTCAGGAGACTGGTACAAGTCATCAACCTAAGTTAATAAAAAAGTTTTGTCACTAAAAATAGATAATGGGTTTTACCCATTTACCAAATCTGCAGCTTAAAAAAGTAAAACCAAAACAGGAATAAAAAGTTGAGCGTGTTGTTCTCAGTGCTTTCTTTTAAGGGGGGGGAGTTCCAGTGCTGCATACACTTGAGTACCACCAGAAAAAAAGCAATGGTTGTTCTGGACAGTTTGTTTATAGGCAAGACCCCAAAAATGCAGGAGTAAAACTTTTAGAAAGCTTCTTTTCATCTGCTTGTTGAACTTGGCCTGCAGGGATGGGGAGAGACAGCCTGTTGGGGCAAATGTTCCCTATCCCTAGTCTAGGAGCAGGTGGTGCTACAAGGCTCAGGCCTGAAGACAAGTAAGCCTGGATGTAATCTGCCTACGTCAGATTATTTAAACATTTTTTAAAATAAGTTTGCCATTTTGTTTGCAAAGCGACAAAGCATGCACCTTCCTAATTATCTGTTGATCAATGTAAAAATATTTGTACATTAATCCTTGTTGGGATCAATCATCATCCCAAATATTGGGATCAAATATTGCAAGACTGATGACTTTTCATCTGGTGGAAATCAATGCAAATACAGAAAAGAAAAGATTGTAAGAAATTAAGCATGAAGAAAGTGGAAATGGTTAGACCAATTCATGCACATGTACTTATTCATGTACTTATACCAGTCACAATAGCGGTATGCAGGGGTAGGGAAGCCACAGACCACAGACCTAATTAAGGCCACCAGTTTTCCTCATTTTGCCCATGAGGTCACTTTGGCCACAATATGCCCACCTGCTCTACACCAGACATGCCTGATGTCAGGTACAGAACAAGTGCTGATGATCAGCTGGTCAGAAGCACTTTGCAGAATGTTTTGTCTGCAGCGTTATTTAAAATCATGTGGGCAGAAACTGGACATTTGATGTCAGGTAACTGACAAGTGGGCAGCCCCACCTGTCAAACTCGGCCCACCAGCTGGATCCAGTTCTCCACCTCAAGGCTCAGAAGCACCAGGTCTCCAAATACCAGCCATTGGGGAACAACTGGAGTGGGAGACTGTCCTCACATCCCACTTGTAAGCCTCCTATAAGCATCTGGTATGCAACTTTGGGAAACAGGATGCTGAACTATAGGCCTTGGGTTCGATCCAGTAGGGATCATTTGGCATTCGTAAGATTAACTGGCAGAATTCAAAAAACAAAAATCCCTAACAAGCTGTTCCCAATGTATCATAGATAATTCAGAAGATGAAGTGCTCATATTTTATGTTGGTCAACTGCCTCAGACCTCCCATGCACTCTTCTATGTGCCGGAGGACTTTGATGAAGCAGGCAGGGAATGGCAGGTATTAATAAATTCTGGTTTCAGTGAAAACTAGCTGATGTCTGTGAACTCTTAAAACACTTAATTTGGTTGTGTGTCTGCAAGCAGTTACTAAATGAATTTGCTATTCTTTTCTTTGTAATGGTCTCAATACATCTCTAGATCAATTGTCATTTCAAGGCCGTGCAATGTGATTCAATACTAAACTAAATATAGGAAAGACTAACAGCACTTATACCAAATACTTGTTATGTAACATACAATTTGATGCTTTCCATGGGAACAGAAGCTATTTAAGTTAGTACTAGGCTGGTGTCCAACTCTGTATTCATAAAAGAATAAGCAAAAATGCTAATTTGTGCACAGAAGAAGACACTGAAAAGATCAGATTTTCATTCTGAACAATCTACATTGCATTATTGTTACTAAATTACCTAATTACAATGCAGAATACCTTTCATTAATCACCATATTATTCACGGGACACAGATGACTCATGCTTGCAATTCATACCACTCACTTTGCATTCCCCACCACATTATTGGTATTCATTTTAAAAACACATTTCAACATTGCTTCATTGGTATTAAAGCTTCTTCCACCATTTAGTTTAGCCTCCCACACTGTTTATGAGTCTTTATCTGGGCATCTATTAGTTCTGTGGCACTCTAAGATTAGACTGCTAAGGTTCCTTTACAACACCTACTAAAGCAGGCCTCAAAGTACGGCCATGCAACTTATAGCCCACCTTGGATACTAAAGCCACAGTGCCAGGTTCTTTCCCTTCCATGGGAACGTGGAATAATGCTTCGTGCTCATAGGGATCAAACTTGGCTCCAAGAGGATTCAGTTTCATCAAGCCATGTTTGGTGAACACTTTCTGTATTTGAACCTCAGTCATGACAAGACCTTCGTAAAGGTTTTTGAGATGTGGATTTTCATCCTTGAGTTCTTCTCTGGGAACACTCTCAGTTGCTTTTTCCAGAACATCAGCAACTTCCAGCAAATCTTTGCAGAAACTCTGAATTCCTAAAACAGGAAAAGCAAATAAAATTTCAGATAATCCTTAAAGATGCATCAACATCTCATCAGACAATGAAAGGAACCATTAATTTATATATTTTCTTCCAGGATTCAAAGCTCAGGCATGTATATGGTTAAAGATACATTATCAAGTATTACCAATACCAAAAATGATGTGCGACTGAATCTCCATTAAATTCACATGTGTAGAATCGGGGACATAAAACTTATAGCTAGAAAATTATAAGTAACTTAATTCTTTTCACAACCACCCTCAAGCCTAAGTTTTAATAAGGTACCAGTGTATATGATAAACGTGCATTTTTTCTGCTCTGTACAATGACCCAATGTCGTCTCTTGAAAATGTAATTGAAAGGGGTATTTGGCAAAGCAGTAAGCAATTCAAGCTGCAAATATCTCCACCTTTGAAATTCTTTTTTGTATAGTTAAGATCAGTGGTGAATTTCCAGCCTGTCATCCCTATTAAAGCTTAGCGGAGGTCCTAAATTTGCATCTGAGGCCAACTTCCCAAGTCACACACACCTGACATATATGACTTTGGAGTAGTGTGGGAGAAGTGAAACTGCAGTTTACCTGTGTGCTGTGAAGTATGACTCTTGAAGCAGCACAGCATATATAAGCTGAGTGGCAGTACCATTTTGGAATTTCCAAGCTTAAGTTTTCATTTATGTTTAATGTGGTGTTCTAGTGCTAGTAACAACAAATACAGCCTATACCTACCATATAACTTTGCTTCTTCTACCAATTTCTGAGTTCTTTGTCGCAGATTTTCTGCATCTGCCAGGGCACGTTTATACTTGTCCTGGACAAGGGGGAAAATAAACAGTGGAAATGTAAAACCAATTGCCTATGTAAAAAACTCCCAGGAAATGGAGACACAGAATGAATGAGTCCACCAAACACCCCATCCTAACTGCGCTCCTGGATCAAAAGCGCTGTCTTTTCCTCCAAGTGATACACTGAATTTGTGATGTGTCAGGTTTTTAATAGAACTTTATAAATGTTGTGACCCACAAGTGAGGGGATAAGGGTTAAAAGCAGGACAGAAATATAAAGGGAGAGATATTACTTCAGCCATTTGCTATGCTGTTAAATCCTACAATTATCTGGCAATATTAAGAGCAACATCAGCAAACCATGAGACACTCCTATTTTTGTGGCCCCAGGGCCCATTTAAGAAAACAAGATAAAAGTCCTTTCCTCTTTTTTTATAAACTAGATACATGGTAAAAACCTAACCATTCCCTTTTTAGACAAAGACGAAATCCAACTTTAGTTCACCAGTGGGGGGAAATTAATGACCGCATGTACAGAGCTCAGGTAGTCTCAAGACATTTAAGTTATATATACATTCTCACTTTTCTGATGCTAGCACTTTCAAGACCCAATTGCAAAAAGAAACTACTGAAAAGTAATATGCATATCCTATCTATCTGCTGTTTGAGGGCTATACAAATATATAAACCAAAAGGAGTCTTACAGTAATTTCTTTTAATTGTTCTTCTAGTTTGGCCTTTTCCTCTATTAACATCTTTTCAGCAGAGCCAGTATCAGATTTTTGTTCATGTTGAGTCTGGTTTGGCTCTTCTTCCAAGTTTGGTCCAGTGCCTTTCTCCTGTGTCGCTATGCAAAGCAGCTGAGAAGTCCTGAAACAATATCAGGTTCAGTAAAACTCAAAGCAACTTTTTAAGACTGAGTACAAGAGGCCACCAGCACATTGCCACCTCTTATCCCCAAATCTTCTCTGGAGGGTCATGACTCATCAGAATCCCGAGAATAGTACAGTGGTGCCCCGCAAGACGAATGCCTCGCAAGACGGAAAACCCGCTAGACGAAAGGGTTTTCCGTTTTTGAGTTGCTTCGCAGGACGAATTTCCCTATGGGCTTGCTTCGCAAGACGAAAACGTCTTGCGAGTCTTGAGATTTTTTTTCCGCTTTCCCCCCTTTTTCTAAGCCGCTAATAGCCTTTTAGCAGCTAATCCGCTAAGCCTTTAATAGCCGCTAAACCGCTAATAGCGCTAATCCGCTAATAGGGTTGCTTCGCAAGACGAAAAGACCGCTAGACGAAGACACTCGTGGAACGGATTAATTTCGTCTTGCGAGGCACCACTGTATACAGTGGTACCTCGGGTTAAGTACTTAATATGTTACGGAGGTCCGTTCTTAACCTGAAGCACCACTTTACCTAATGGGGCCTCCTGCTGCCGCTGCGCCACCGGAGCACAATTTCTGTTCTCATCCTGAAGCAAAGTTCTTAACCTGAAGCACTATTTCTGGGTTAGCGGAGTCTGTAACCTGAAGCGTCTGTAACCTAAAGCGAATGTAACCCGAGGTACCACTGTATAGGGAGGGGAGGGGTAGTTATTCCATCAGACAAGCAAAAATGAATACTGCTAGAATTATTTTTTTTGGCACCACACTGAATACAATTCCATGCAGCAAAACTCTATACTAAGATTATATATAATGGGAGGCCAATCTAATAACCCATTTGTGTTTTTTTCTTGGAAAAGGAATGTCTACTCAGGTTCTCAATCTTCAAGAACCACAATGCAGTTTTTGCAGTACATCCTTCCAGTCCATATCCCTTGTGGTGGTGACAGACTGGTATGCAGATATCAATAAAAACATAAATATTTTTAAAACCACATAAGAAAGAGGGATAACCTTCCTTCAAACAACTTGACATTTTAATATTTAATCATGCATAAACAGGCCCCACTACTTCTCCATTAGGAACAGAATTAGTTACCTAGAAAAAAGTGTACAATCATATAAAAGTTTTTTCAAAGTTTGACTAATTTTTGAAGAACAGATGTGCAGCACAGTCCTTTTAAGTGTCTTCTCAGAAATTTCACCACCTTCCCAACAGGAATCACTTCCAGATATGTACAGCAGGTGTGGTTCCCCTGTAGTGCTCCAGTTGCTGTCAGCCTCCAACTCCCACCAGCTCCAGCTAGTAAGGACAACAGTCAGGGATCCTGGGAGTTCTAGTCCAGCAACATCTGGAGGGCTACAGATTCCTTGTCTACAATGAACAGTATTGCTGCAAAACACAGCCAAGTACATAACTCTCCCAGGAAAGTTAGGGCTAGTTCACATTTAGTTAAAAGATCTATACAGTATTGTTATTTATTATTTATTACATTTATATACCACCCTTCATCCAAAGATCTCAGGGCAGTTCACAAGATAAAAATAGAAGATAAAATACAGGATGAAAGAGACTTATACTGTCCCTCCTTTATGTTTCACCTGGGGATGGTGAGCTCTGCTCTAAAGTATAGTGGTACCTCGGGTTACATACGCTTCAGGTTACATACGCTTCAGGTTACAGACTCCGCTAACCCAGAAATAGTGCTTCAGGTTAAGAACTTTGCTTCAAGATGAGAACAGAAATCGTGCTCTGGCAGGGCGGCAGCAGCAGGAGGCCCCATTAGCTAAAGTAGTGCTTCAGGTTAAGAACAGTTTCAGGTTAAGTACGGACCTCCGGAACGAATTAAGTACTTAACCCGAGGTACCACTGTATCAGCATATTTAAATGAACCAATACCCTCTATTGCCCACGTTGGTTTCAAAAACGTCCCGTTGGCACGTGCAAGGCAGACAATTCCTGCTCGAAAGGAATTAAGTCATTTGCTATTAAGATGGATCGGGTATTGAAAAGCCTTTTAAGACTGCCCCAAGCACCGGCCAAAGGTGAATCTGAAAGTATTCAACTGTCTAAAGAAAAAAAGAGAGAAAAGGTTGGGGGGGCGGTAAATAGCAGCCATTCGCCCCGTCCACGCAGAGAAACTAAACCGGGGAAGAGACCTCCTCCCGGAGTAAGACAGGCTGCGTGACGTAATGGAGTAGGATCTGAGCGAGACCACGGTTCGAATTCCGCGCCCTGGGGGTGACCTTGGGGGCCAGGAGCTGCCTCCTCTCTGCCCAGCCCGCCTCACAGGGCGGTTGTGGAGCGGGGGGGGCGGGGGGGCGGGGAGAGAACTACCTTAAGTCGCTTGGAGGGAAACGAGGGATTAAATGCGACGAACGGAAAATATGTAAAATAAATAAAATCAGATTCCGGGACGGGCGTGGGGGATACGGGGGGACCGTGGGGCTGTGGGCCCGGCTTCCCGCCTCCTGCCTCTCCGCCTCAGGCACGCGGAGCCCTCCCGGCCCTTCCCCCAGGGCGAAGTCCCGCCGCCTTTGCCGGCTTACCGCTGCGGGTGCTGTGGAGCGAGAAAGGCGCCTCGCCCCGGCAACCCCGCCAGCCCCGCCAGCCGCCACACGGACCGCACGGCTCTCGCCGCCGCCGCCGCCGCCGCCATGTTGCCGCTCGGACTCCTCCCCTCCCCCACCCCAAACGGACCAACGGAAACCGCCTCCGCCCAATCAGCAGGCAGGTCGAGCGGGCAGATTGGGCCATGTAACCAATCAGCGACGACTTCAGCAACAGCCTCTGCCCAATCCTCAGGCAGGTCGACCGGAGTGCTCCTCTTCCCTGACCATGCAGCCAATCAGCCACGCCCTCGGAACCACGTGCGTGAGAGGGAGGGAATAAAAAGGTATGTCGACATCCGGGGCCTGCAGTTCGCCTTTTGAAAGCGAGCTAATTGCGAGTCGAACGAGAGCCGAGGAAAAGGCAGCTATAGATCTAATAAGTAGACTCACACTGGCATTTAACTTCTGGGTTCAGTCTGACCCGTGCTTGCTCTCCCAACGCAGAAGGGTTAGGCAACAACTGAGAAATCTATGAATTTATTGTTAATATTTTTTAGCGCACTGGCGCTTAGACGCCTCCAGATACCTGCATTCCAAAATAAAGTGAAGTCGTAGAAAGAGTTCCTGTTCTTTCCCACTCAGGACTTACTCGGGTTTTAATTTTTTTCAGCATTTTAAAAGAGTGCCAGTGCAGTCCATTATTCCCAGATGTGGGGCATTATCGCTCTCACAATGTTAAATGGAGAAGTCAAATTAAACCGAAAACTAGACGGGCGTGCTTCCATGCGGTAGTTTCCTAGAATCATCGAATTGTAAAGGATTCCCGAGGGTCGTCTAGTCTAACCCCCTGCAATGCAGGAATCTCAACATGCAGTCCCCCTTCCAATTGGAAACCATACTAGGTTTGCAAATCTGCTAGCAGTTTTATTGCTGCACCTGTGAACTCCATGTGGCTGACACACGCAACTGTTTTTTCAGCGTTCACAGAATGACCACGTACGCATCATAACACAATCTCATCCCACCCCTGCTTTTAAAACGGGTTTACTGTTTTCAGCAAGCTCTGTGTGTGTGTATGTGTGTTACTGGGTTGTCTGTGGTAAATCCAGATTAAATTGTAAATAATATGTGATGGCATTCTGATTAAGGCAATGTCATATGTGGGCACTGAACAAAGTTTAGAATGGTAAAGTTGCAAGGGGTCCTAAGGGTCATCTGGTCCAACCTGATGCAATGCAGGAATCACAACCAAATCATGCCTGCCAGATGGCCACCCAAACTCTGCTTAAAAACCTCAAAGGAAGGAGAGTCCACCACCTTTCAAGTGACTCCAACAGGTCTTACTGCCAGAAAGTTCTTACGGATGTTTAGTTGGAATCCATTGGTTTGGGTCCTACCCTCCAGAGCAGGAGAAAACAAGCTTCCTCCATCTTCAGTATCTCCTCTCAGTCTCCTCTTTACCAGGTGAAACACACCCAGCTCCCTCGACCATTCCTCATAAGGCTTGTATGTGTGAACAGCACAGGTCCAGAAGAAACTGCTGCCTAGAAGCACCATCTGCCATCATGGCTTGAAAGCTGAGTTTTCTCTGCACAAAGAGACACACTATGCATGCCACAGGCTTCAAAAAGCATAGCTCAGAAACATGGGTGTAGTCAGGCTTGGGGGTGTGTGGGCAAAACCGAGATATCTGCAACACGATTGGTCAGTTAGTGAAGTATTTTTATTCCTCCCTGTGGAACACCCTCCCACTGGATGTTAAGGAGATAAAGAACTCTACAAGTTTTAGAAGACATCTGAAAAGAGCTCTGTATCAGGAAGTTTTTTATGTTCGACATTTTATTATGCTTTTATACTGTATGTGCTGGAAGTCGCCCAGGGTGGCTGGGGAAACCCAGTCAGATGGGTAGGGGTATAAATAAAATAAATAACAACAACAACAATAATATTGACACTGTTTGGGCGAGGGCACACCATTTTCATGTATTGTTTACACAGTACATTTGTTACTGCGGCTGATATTTCTTGCACTCAATTATATGTAACACTCGGGCCCAGAGGAGACAATTTATCTATATATATATCTTTTGTGACAGTGTGAATCATGTGACCTAGATACAGTGGGGGGGGGCGTGTTTCTCTTTCTGAAACATGAAGTACACTCTGAGCATTTTCTTTTCTTTCATGTTTGATGCTGTTAGATGAAATAACTGGGGATGAAGGTTTTATGGTAATATTTGCAGTTGGGTGGACTGGATGACCTTTGGGGATACCTTCCAAGTCTATAAGTCATGTGATTCTTTGGTTGTATGATGGGGAGGGGTAATCTTGATGTATATTTTGCTTTAAGAGGCTTAGTTTGGTCAAAATCGAGCATACACTTTCAGAGTTAATGCTAAATACATTAGTACTGTACTTCTGGTAAATGAGCCACCATAGCCACTAGAGGGCTGTGAAAAGTTGTGTCCCAGGCTTTTTAGACTTTTTAGATGCAGATGGTGCTGTGGTCTAAACCACAGAGCCTAAGGCTTGCCGATCAGAAGGTCAGGTTGTTGGCGGTTCGAAAACCCACGATGGGGTGAGCTCCTGTTGCTCGGTCCCTGCTCCTGCCCACCTAGCAGTTCAAAAGCACACCCAAAAGTGCAAGTAGATAAATAGGTACCGCTCCAGCGGGAAGGTAAACGGCATTTCCATGCGCTGCTCTGGTTCGCCAGAAGCGGCTTAGTCATGCTGGCCACATGACCCAGAAGCTGTACGCCGGCTCCCTCGGCCAGTAAAGCGAGATGAGAGCCGCAACCCCAGAGTCGTCAGCGACTGGACCTAACGGACAGGGGTCCCTTTACCTTTACCCATCTGAAACCAAAGGGGAACATTGGTTGCCAAATGTGATTTTTTTAAAAAGCTCCCACACCCCACTACAGAAGCCATCCCAGTTTCTGATTTGATCCTGGAACGTCCCACTTTTCCTTAGGACGTCCCTATTTTCATCAGAGAAATGTTGGAGGGTACGGAGTTATGCAACCCCCGAGTCAAGGAGATAAGTAAGTATACCACCTTTAGAAGACATCTAAAGGCAGCCCTGCATAGGGAAGGTTTTTAAATGTTTAATGTTTTATTATGTTTTTATATATGTTGGAAGCTGTCAACCCAGTCATATGGGTGGGGTATAAAGAATAAAGTTATTATTATGGAATAGGATGTCCCTGTTTTTATCAGAGAAATGTTAGAGGGAGTTACCAATGCATGGACCACTGTGGTCAGTATTGGTTGCAGCTGGTATACCAGCCAAAGTTGATAGAAGGCACTCCTTGTCCCAGAGGTCAACTGGGACTATAGTGACAAAGATGGATTAAGAAGTTTCCCCAAGTTGCAGACTTTTTCCTTCAGAAAGGAATGCAGCCCCATCAAGAACAGGCAACTGACCTATTTCCCAGACAAGGCCGTTGTCTTTCTAGGGTGGAAGCTCAGTTTGCTGACCCTCATCCTTCTACAGACTAGATTCAGCTTCTACTCAGCATTCGAAACTCCCATTGTTCTAGGCACATTTTGCTACTGGGAATTTCATTAGCACAAGCATTTCTGAGCTCTGGGTGCAGGACTGCGCCTCAGATTTCAGATTAAAACTGCCACTGCTGGCACTGAAGACTTCCAAGAGATTGCTGTAGTGTCAGGCAAGCTGACAGGTTCTACCTCTCAGCTGGCCTTACAGAAAGGCAGTGTTTTGAGGGACCCTCACAAGAATATTAGGGGGGCGGGCTGGGGAAGCATGGCTTCATTTTTTGCAGTCTTCAGATGAAGGCTAGACCATGTGAAAAATGAACATAAGATTTTAGCTGCAGTTCATTCATTTTCAGCGTTGTATTGTTCTTATAAAAAAGTGCACCTTGACATTCTGTTGTGGTGCCCATAACCTAGGTTTAAGGTGCCATTTAGCTCCTAGCTTTCATATCTTAGCTTCTAACACTGAACTCAGTCTAAATGAGGATTAGTGGCAATGATGTACAAAAACCCAATCTGGCATGTGGCAGCAGGATTCAGCAGTGTGTTCAACAAGTGATTGGTAGAAATGGATGGAAATCAGCTTGAGCTGCTGTTTTCTCATGGCCACCACACACAGACATTGTTGTGAGAAATGGCCCTAAGAGGGTCAACAAATATGGGGGTTGGGGTGGAGAATGCACATAGTAGACATGTGGAAATAGTCTATTGTGTGGGATCCTCCTTCCTTCCTTCCTTCCTTCCTTCCTTCCTTCCTTCCTTCCTTCCCATGTAAAAAGTAAGATCCATCTAAATGACCAGAGGAATCAGCTGAAAGATACTGGAAACCCTACTAATTTAAAAACAAAGAAACACACTAGGCCTCAATAGACATGAAGTTACCCCTGAAAAGAACATAGTGTATCTTGGAGCTTATTTGTGGCAGTTCTTCCAGAATTCATTGTCAATAAGGATAATTTTTCACATAAGCCTTCTCATTGATTTCTCACACATGGCATTTTACTCAGCGCCTGCCATTGATTTTCTTCTCAGAACCCATCATTCTCCTCTCTGACTCTTTTGACAGCCTGCAACCCCACGGGAACTTCACTCATGAGCCCTGTGGGCATCATTATCACCTTGGGTTTGCTTCTGATCAGCCTAGAGGCCCTTGCTTATGAAGCCAAAAGGGTGTCCTGGCTCCCGTCCCAAAACACAACAGCAGATGGTCTTACTTGTAAGCAGGGATAGGATCTTTATTAAGACAGAGCAGCAGTACATTGTTGTGAGGTGGAAAGGTATGTCATGGGTATGTGAGCAAAATAGGTTCTCACCCTCATATTCCCATGGACTTGAGGGAGGGATGAAAAAAAGCTAACCATGCTGGGGCATTTTAAACATTAGCCTATACAACACAGGGACTACGTCCACAGAGGGGCTCTCCATACATCCAAGGGGTGAACATGTACAGGCATGTACAGTGGTACCTTGCTTTAAGAACAGCTTAGTTTATGAACAGCTTGGATTAAGAATGCTGCAAACGCGAAGTAGGTGTTTTGGCTTGTGAACCTGCCTTGGAAGCAGAACATGTTCTGCTTCCTGTTGAGTGTGTTCCATTTGTAAATTGAGTCCCCTGCTGCTATGGGAAAGCACGC